CCATCATCATAGCCGTCTTCATAACCGTCGTCGTCGTCGTTGTCGTCGTCATCATCATCATCATCGTCATCATCGTCATCATCAACATTGTTATTATTATTATCATCATCATCAGCATCATCATCAGCATTTGTCATCGCTCATCATCCGTCATGATGCTTGGAGATCACATCAGGAGCACCCCCCCGCCGTGAGACTTTGCACAGCCCCCTCCGGACGCTCCCCTCGCCAGCGAGGCAGGCGCTGCTCGTGGCGCAGCAGAAGAGCGCGGAGCCGCCCGGAGAGTGGGGCCCGGTGCAGCGGGGTCCGGGGGTTGCGGGGGCTCTGGGCAAATGATACTGTGGATGGACGAAATCCATTTCGCACCACGTAAGAAACCCTGGAATGATGAATCGCCTCGCCTCTAAATACCAATAAACAATGGTTTGCCCGTGGTTTCCAAGTGGTGCAGGATTTTGTCCATCCACAGCAGTGACCTCACATCGGTTTCTGATCTTATCCACGAAAACTCCTTTCTTGGGCCGTCCCCTAGTTTACCCACATGGGCTGGGCCGGCATTTGGAAGTCGGTGGGCAGGAACATGTGCCAGTTCTAGAGAGCTTACTTGGGGACAAAGCCAGCTTACTTATCATTGAAGCTTGCTTTCAGGGATCCTGAAGCGTCAGTTGGTGAGTGACAGCAAATTGCACAATCAATGGCTAAACCAACTCCTTCAAGTCATAGATTCATGGATGTCATTGAATCATTGTGGGTTTCCGTGAATCAAACAGGGGGCTAAGCCTAGTTTGTAACAAATGTGCAAATGAGCAACATGTCTTTTAGAAGCGTGTTACGTTATTTACGAGGAAGCTGCATTGCTGTTTGCCGTATGTGTGCAACCTGTGTTGACTCCAATCCGGTCCTGCGACCTGTCGCTGAGGCGTGTTGTTGATGGCTTGTGGCACACGCGGCTGCGGCGCCTGTGTTTTGGGGCGGTCGGGCCCGCAAAAGAAGGGTAGCTCACACCCTTGACCAGCCCAATTTGGGCTACCAGTCATGCTTTTGCCTTAGGCAGACCAGCCGCCTCGACGAATTGCAGGAGGAGGCCGGCACCAGCCGAGCAAGCGTGCGAGACAAACCTTTGTCATGGAAGGGACCTCACCTGTTTGACCCACTGGACAGGTTTTGTTCTCGAGTTTCGCTTACTCTGATTAGTTTCTACGACTTGGACAGATTGAAACAATAAGAATGTCACAGTGTGAGGTGGACATGGCCTGATTGTGATGAGTTTGAGTGGGGCCGGCACCGGAGCTTACACTGAACACACACGCATGTTCTGCTTTGTTCAGGTGCTGGCAAACAGTCTGTTGCGCGAAATGTCATAGACGCCCGCAGCTGATGATACAATATGAATCTGATTGACAAAGCACATCTTTCTGAGAACTTGTCAAAGCTAGGGATGCCGCATCCTGGAAGGCCATTCATTTGAAGCGACCTGAGAAGCGCCTCTGGCATTTGAAGGAGTCCACTGTCTGACGCAAGGCGACAGGTTCATGTTCGGAAAGATCGTATTTTGCAGATTCCGTTTGGAACCAACTTACGTTCGTTTCTGCAAAGAGTCCAAGCGATCCCACACATTTCGTCGCAGGGTTGGCACTTTTTCCAGTGCCTCAACAGCGAACCCAACCCAACCCAACCCCCCCTCCCCCGGGCGTGCCATGGACACCTAGAGTCTGTTTTGCAAGCTCAAACCCAAACAGACCCAATATGTACCCTTCATACGCACCGCTGCACTCGCGTCCGAGGTGAAGCAAGCGCAGGAGCGCCGACTCCGCAGCGACCAGTCGGCGCAGTACAAGCTGCAAGTCTTGGAGGAGGGCGTCGCTGAGTGATGCGTGGGCCTTGCTGACACTTTGGTTTGTTCAGCACTTGGATCGCTTTTTTGGGGCTGTTTGGTGGTTTCCAGCCCCCCTTAGCTTTTTAGCATGGGGATGTCCATTTAACCCAAATTCCACGACAGCCCAGTTTTCTCTTAGAAAGCCACGCACAAACGTGTGTCCATTGTTTTTTGCATGGGCACCCGGCAAGTAAGACAAGAGGTGCGGGGCAGACATCAAATGTGGCTTTGAGCTGCATTCTTTTGCCGGGTACCGTGTTTCGCTGCAGTCCTTTGCTTTGCTTTGCGTTACCGGCACCGTTCTCCGTTGTTTCTTTCCTCTTTTTTTTTGTGCTGTTCTCTTTGCATTTGCGCCTCTGCACAGTCATAGTTCTTTTGCTGCCTGCTCGTTTGCTAGCTTGCGTGCGTTTGCTTGCCTGCCAGTTTCTGCTTTGCTTGCTTGTTGACTTGCTTGGTTGGACCTTGTCGGTGTCTTTCATTAGCATTGATTGCCATATTATCGTCTTCCTGGGCTACTTGCTTGCGAGGTGCTTGGTGTCCAGTTTCGGTGTTCAGTTCCGCTTGGTGTTTCTTTAGTTTGAACATGTTTGAACCTGTCTTCTTTAAATTGCTTTCACTCGGAACTGCGCTGCTTGCTTTGGAATGAGCATCAATACTAGTTTCTTTAGGGGATCCAAAAAACTAGGGGATCAAGAATAGATTATTGAGACCTAGTCTTCTGGTCTCTTGGTCTCCTAGTGCCCTGGTCTCCTTGGTCTCCTATCTTCCTGGTCTCTTGGACTCTCCGACCCTAAACCAAACCCACACCCCCCTGACCGACCCCAAACCAACATACAAACCAAGCTTGGCACCCACCGTGCGCAACTTTTAAGCCAGCCCTACACCAACCCTAAACCAGCCCAAAACCATCCCTAAGCCACCCCTAAACCAACCCTAAACCCACCCTAAACCAGTCTAAACCATCCCTAAAACAACCCTAAACCCACCCTAAACCTACCCTAAACCAACCTTAAGCAAAACACTAAACCGGCCCTAAACAGCCTAAGCCCACCCTAAAACTATCCTAAACAGACCCTAAACCAAACCTACACCCTAACCCACCCTAAACCCACCCTAAACAGACCCTAAACGAAACTTACACCCACCCTAAAACCAGTCCTAAACCAACCCTAAACCCACCCCAAGCCAACCCTAAACCAATCCTAATCCCACCCTAAACCCACCCAAAACCTACCCTGAACCAACCTAAATCCACCCCAAACCCTAAAACAGCCCCAAGCCAGCCCTAAGCCAACTCTAAACCAACCCTGAACCCACCCAACCCTAAACTAACCCTAAACCACCCTAAAACCTCAAACCCACCTTAAACCTGGCCAAAACCTGCCTTAAGGAGCATCGCAGTCGATTGAGTCAGCTTGAGATGGACTGCTCTTGGACGCTCTCCTCTCCCAGGACCAGGAGGCCATCACCCTCCAACGCTGCCAAGACTGCCGCCTTTCGCGGGAGCTAGGCTGCCCCATTTACGTCTACGACTGGGGCGCCCGGCAGAAAAAGCCGGTCCGCTTGCGCAGGGCCGCGGCGGGTGTCTTGGCGGCCTTAGCTCTCAGTGGCACGGGGCGCGCGCTTGGGCGACTCGGGGAACGGTGTTTTTTTCTTGACGCGCTTTGGGGCCCCAACGATTCCGGCTCTCGCGCTTTGAGGCGCAGACTTTCCCGCGACCTTGGAGGCGGTGGCGGAAAAGGACGGCCACATGTACTACGCCGACGCCTGCGCAGACCGGCAGAGGGGGGCGCTCGGGCGGATGCTTTCGGGCGGCGCTTGCCCGAACATCCAGGACGCCCACGCCCGCGTGCCCCTGCTCGTCACGCCCTCGGAGACGGCGCCGCTCCCGCCGGGGATCTCCGTGGTCGTCGTGCCGGATGACGAGAACAGCAGGAAGAAGAAGGCGGGCTGCGCTCGGCTCGGGAGCGCGTTGGTTGGGGACGTTTCGCGCCCGCCCTTCTTCAAACAAAAGCGGCGCGTTCGAACACTAGAGGCAAATGCGTTGTTAAGGTATTGACGCGGGCCCACTGCCGTCGCGAGCGTTGTTTCGCGAGCCGTGGCCAGGTGACTGATGGCCAGGCCGAGGCGGGGCCGCCGGTCTTCGAGGCTCTGCGCCTGCGGCGCGGCGGCCGCTTCTGCGCCGCGCAGTTCCGCGCGGTGCTGCCGGCGCAAGACCGCGGCGCTGTCCTGGCCAAGGGCATGCTGGAGGTCAACGCCCGCCTCGGCCCAATCATCCTTCTGCGGCAAAGCAACGTCAAGGTCTGGCTCGGCACGCCAGAAGGACCGGGCAGGGGCGAGGAAGGCTTCTTGGAGGGCGGGGCTGTTGTTGCTCCTTGGGCACGCGCCGCGCGCCAGGCCTTGAACACGGCGTTGACGTTGTGCGGGGCCGCGGTTTGACTTGGCTTGCTCTCCGCTTCGGCTCTGAACTTTCTTTGTCCGCGTCCTCGGCCGGGATTTCGATCAGCACCCTGCCAAGGAGCCGCGGCTTGGCTGCCAACTGGCCGCCGCCCTCCTTGCCCGGGCCAGCCTGCAGCCGACCGCCGCGGGCAGAGCAGAATCGCTGGCGGCGTTCAACATGCTGCTCGCGTCCGGGGCGAGCGGTTGGTCCGGGAGGCCTGGGCCCTGGGCGAAGAGGACGCGTGGAGCCGCAAGCGGACGCCCGTTGCGGACATCCCCGACCCCACGCCTGTGGCTGAGCTGACCCAGGTGGAGCAGGAGCGAGGGCGCCTTGTTCGCGTCTCGCGCAAGTTGGGTCCGCTTGCCGCTACTGTCTCGTGACACACTTTGTTGTGGATTGGCCGGTGGCATAGGCTGATTATTTGGTCCGTCGGACGGACATGTGAGGAAGTCTTGGACCCGGCATTGGAGGATGCTGATCTGAAGGAGGCCTCAGTTCATCCGGTGGATTTGGTGGGGCGCGGCTGCTGCCTCTGAAAAAGAATTGTGAACGGATGAACGCATGATCGCACACCGCTGTCTTGGATCAACTCATCCCAGTCGCGCCTGTAACTACGCGGGCGTGGCCCAAATTCTATTCAGCTGGTCTGGCTGCCAAAAGAACACGCACCATCATCCCTTTTTCAAATGCCTGTATTGACCATAGCCTGACTTGAGTCGCTGTCAGTTCTTCATCCGTCTTATCAATCGTGAGCTGTGTCGGCGTCGCAAGATCTACTTGGGCGAGAGCTGCTCGTCGTCTCCCGATCCACGGCTGAGCGCCCTCCGCCTCACCTCCAACGGTTTTTGGTGGGGCCGTTTGTGCGGCTCGGAGCATGACTCACAACTTCAACCCCTTTTGGAGGGTTTCTCCAGCCAGTTTGCTGTTTGCCACCGAATCGGCTCAAGTTTGGTTCTCTCAGGTCTGCCTTTTACGGCGAACGCACCGGACGCGCCCGCGGTGAGGTTCCTGATGCACAGCTCGGTTTTGGTTGGGCAAAACCTGGGTAAGAGGTGGCTAGCGGAACCATAAATAGTTGCAACTGTTTTTTCAACTCCAGCCCATTTTTAACCAAACCCGTTCGCTCCTGAGCTTGAGAGCTATGTTCTTGCAAAACAGCGATAATTTGACAGGCCTTAGGAGGCCCGCTTCTGGAAACGAGACCAAAATTTACTTTCGTTTTGTGAGCGCATCAGCTATGTGCACGTATGGCCCTGTCTCGAGCAAGCGGTTGAGCTTGTCTTTTAATTTCCCTTGCAGATTTTCCAGAGTGTCAAGTGTCTGAACAAGTTAAAAAGGGCACCCGGAAAATCTGGCTTATGCATCCGTTGCTCGTCTTGTAATTTCTCTTGGGCTGTTCTAGCGGGTTAACAGGTGCATACAGGTGCCCTTTTTTGCCGCAAAAACAAATGTCCTTCAGCCAGCATGGCGGCGCAGGACTGGTGAGAAGAGCTGCGCGCTGGCAATTGATAGTAGCTCTGGGCATGGCTCAGAGATGCGCCCAAAAGAGGTAGCCGCCCAGTCGCCCCAACAGCACGCCTGGCATACGTCCGTCAAGCTGCGAGTGCTGAAAGAGGGGCTGTTCATGCCACTGAGAATGGGCTGGCCTTTTGAACAATTTTGAAATGTATAGCCACCCCCCCCTCATCGGTTATCCATCCCTCTGGTTTAATGTGGATTGTGTTTACTCAGATGGTCCTGTTTGGATAGTGGCCTGGTGACCCGTTTAGAGGAGTTGCCGTTGCGGCCACCCGAAACCAACCCTCTAAACTAAAACAGCCCCCAAGCCCTAATCAACCCCAAACCCACCTTCAACCTGGCCAAGTCTACCCTAAGCCAACCTTAAACAAAACACAGAACCGGCCCTAAAAGCAGCCACCGCCCACCCTAAACCTACCCTAAACAAATCTAAATCCACCCTAAACCCACCCCAAACCAAACTACCCTAAACTGAATAAACCCTAAACCCACCCTAAACAGGCCCCAAACCACACCCACACCCACCCTAAACCCATCCTAATTCAACCCGAAGCCAACCCAAAACCCTAGACCCAACCTGAACCTGCCCAAAACCCCTAAACCAACCTTAAACAAAACACTAAACCGCCCTAAGCCCAGCCTAAGCCCACCCTAAAACTACCCTAAACAGACCCTAAACGAAACCTGCGCCCACTAAAGCCAGTCCCAAGCCAACCCTAAACCGACCCCAAGCCAACCCTGTAAATTACAGCGTTTTTGCACCCCTGGGCGAGATAATTTGTTTTTGATCATGTAAATATGTTTTTATTGGTCCGGGTGTCGATAATTTCTTTTTGATCCCGCAAATAATGTTTTTTGTTCCGGCACCCGCTTGATTTGATTTGGCTTACCACTTGCAAAAGAGGTTGATACGATTTTTTCTCCGATGTTCATGCTCTGCTTGGGCTACACATTGCGAGGGGTAGGGTTGGATAAGCTGTCTCCCAGCTTTGCCGCCCAGTAAAATGGGCCTGCGCTATGAGAAACTCTAGACGGGTGTCTCAAAATGGCGATTATACGGTTGTCTCAAAATGGTGATCCACCTTTTTTCTTCTTTCTGTCACCAAGAAAGACCCCCACTGGTGATCCACCTTTTTTTTCTCCATGCTGTCACCAAGAACATGAAATCTAAGATGATGGTGATTTAACATATCAACGCAATCAGTATGTGGACAACACCTGCTTTTTCCGTGCTGTTTCCGGACACCAAGAGAGACCCCCCCCCCGGATTTTAACGGGCTTCTCGGACCCGGAGAGCAAGCCTTGCGAGGACGAGCAGGAGCAGCGGAGCTTCAAGTCGTCTGAAGACCTCCGGCGGGCCAAGGAGCGACTCAAAAAATTCTCTTGGCTCCGGAAAGGGACTTGGTACTTTCCGGCTTGGGCATTCCAATGATTTCTGGGACGAATTGCAGCAAGCTCTGAGGGTTTTCAGGACCACAACAAGCTCGGGGGGTTGATAAATGAGCTCACCTATTCCTTCTTTCAGGCTTTGTGAATAGTAATTTGTCCACATGCCTTCCACCGTCCCCATCTAGGCCTTCAGAACTTTGCTCAATCACCGTGCGGATGAGTAAGCTTCTTAGAAGCAGGCGCTGAAGCGCATTTTGCTTCTTGGCCTCTTTTGGATTTTCATATTTGCTTGGGTTTATCCAGATTTATCCAGACTATTGCAACCCTTGTTTCCTTCTTTGTATCTTTGCTTGGTATTTTCAACTGGCCCTCCTTTCAACATGCCCGTCTGCTACGCTCAGCTTCGCGACTTTTGTGTTTCATTCATGTTTGTTTTAAACGGAAATAGTCAACAGCCCCTTCCCTCTTGAGTCTCTAAGACCACAAGCAATGGACTGGAAACCTTTGTTTGGAGTTGAGGCCACATGGCTGTGGGCCACAACCAATCGGATCCCATTTTGGTTGGTAGTTGGTAAGTGCACCACCCACTTTAGAACCTATTTTAGTGGGGACTGGGATGTTCACCGGACCCATGGCCACATCTTTCAGGAGCACGCCAGGGCCGAAGCGGCAGCACTGGACCAGTGCGAAATGAAGTTGGAGTCGCTGGAGAAGAAGGAGAGGACCAGGCCGGCAAGGCATTTGCTCAAGCTGGTCCTGGTGGTTAGCTAGGTCCCCCAGTAGTGCCCTTTACCCTGTTTTGGGGGAGGGTTCCCCTACTAAAATAGACTACAGAAAAAAAAGGTACCCTTATTCTATCCTCTCTACTGGAGGACCTAGTTGGTATACCCTAGGTGCCCTGAATTCTGGTTTTCCACAAAGATACGCGACGCGGTGGAATGGTTTGAACTCCGTTTCGACAATCCCAAAAGTGAAGAAAAAGTGAAGGGCCGACGAGAATATGTTTTCCCGGGTTTTAGCACTAGAGACGCTCGCGTTTGCGGCTGTAATAGGGGCCTACGGCTGGCAACCCTGAAGACGTGTACGAGGGGTAGTTTGAGCTAGCACAGAGATGCACAAGCGGCTAAGAACTCTTTTCCTGGATCTTGCGTTGCCGAAAAACACCCAAGTTTGGCCGCCAAGTTCCGATTTCAGAGCTGGCCGCATGGCCGAATTGAATCTTCTTTCTGATCGGTGTCACCGGCACTTCGTTGTGGGGCGCTCCATGGTAGTTGGCCCTAGCGCGCCCCAGAAACTGCCCTGGTCAGCACGCTCGAGTCGAGGTGCCTGTGGCCGACATCCAGCGCGCGCAAGCAAGCGGAAAGAACGTTAACATGACCCCCATCCCCTCCCCCACCACCCCCACCCCATTTTTCAACGTAGCATCGAGTGCGTGCGCAAGGGTAAACATGACCCCAACACCACCCCGCACCCCACCCCCATGTTCAGTCAACACGTGTTGCTCCTGTGATGCTGCAAAACGCACAGGCGCCCAAATGCGTGCTGGGGAACTGCCCATTGCTCCCTCTGACAATGAGTTCATATTTGCTGTCAAAACGGTTCCAATCTTCCCGCTGACCCCACCCTCAACATGCAAAGACCCCGGTGCCAACTAGAACCTGGGGTTCAGGCGTGGCCTGACAGGTGCGACGACGCCCTCGCGGCGGTTGGTCGCAAGCAACGAGAATTACCCCTCCTAGCGGTCGAGCCTGAGGGCGCGCATCATGGTTGGGTTCATTTTTCTGATGCCGTTGTTCCAGAGGCATGTGACGCAGATGATCAATGGCCTGTTTGTCATGGTATATGGACATTGCTCATGCCTTGGCACAGGGCTCTCTTCGAGAACGTGCAGGTGGAGTTCGATCGCAAGGACTGGCCACTGCATTGCATAATTTCGGCCAAGGGGCGCATGTGGTGATACAGGAGTTTTTGGCTAGTGGTGCCTGCGGCATATACAGTCAGCATGTATCTTATTTCAAGTCTGAGTGTGAACGGATCGTTGCCGCACATGGAGTTCATTTGGCAAAGCGCGAGCAGTTTTTTTGTCCAGTTTCTTTGGCATTGGTTTGCCTTTGCACAGGCAGCTATAGCCCTGTGGACATGGCCAAAACCGTTTAGATCCCGAAGGGTTCTTCATGAAGCTTTGTCTTTAGACAGCTGAAGCTAGCCCAGCCAGCGATTAGTTGGACTTTTGATCAAGCATGTATGGACATCCTCAACGATATGCAGCTTGAGGGGTTCCGGGGCTGTTTTTGGAGGGCCACCCGGAAAAAACCGCTGCGCCGTTTTGGGTCGTCCAATCCTTTTAAGCCGACGCGCGCGTTCAGCGCCGAATGCCGCGAGGAGAAGCAGAGCAAGGAGGAGCTGCGGGAGGCGACGCAGCTGCGCAACGAGGCCGCCATGGCGGCCGACGAGGCGAGGGGGCGAGCCGGGGAAGACGACCCGCTGTGGCTCAACATGAAACAGCTGGGGCAAACCGCAGGAACTAACCAAGGTTTCATTTACCAAGGGTTCCTACTTTTCTATTTACCAGGTAAATCACTTCATTTTTGGGCCGATTCCCATGTGTGAGGCACTGTGATGAATGAGTTTCCGGCGGAATCGCCTCGGCCATTGGGAGAATCAGGTGGCCGCTTTGGACAGTTCCGCGCATTGGCTGGTGCACCCGGGCTCAAAGAGCGATCCAATTTTCCAGCTCTCCAGTTGCTTTACCGTTTCGAGGTTTCGGTGGCAGCCACTTGGGACGTATGAGTTCGGTTTGGCAATGTCATCTTTTTCCAAACCGGTTGCCAGTTTTGGCATGCTAATCATGGCGGATCATAGTAACCCAAGGATCAACCTTGGACGGCCTGTTGCAGCTTTCAACCATTACCTCCGACGTGTAAGCTACAACTCGTAGACAAACGACGCAACATGACCCAATTTGACACATGTAGAATCTGTGACTCACTGTGGACGAACTTTTGCACGGTTGGTTCTGAAGGAGGGTTTGTGTTGTATTTGTTTGACTCGTTTGCTGCACGGGGCTCTTTTGGTCCATTTGCTCATCCTTCCTCATGCTTGGCATTTTTCAGTGATTGGTGCATTCGTCAATGCGCATTGGCATTGGCACCCACTTGGCCATGGGTCGAAACCCTGTACCTCCAGTGAACATCTCAATCTCCACTAAAATAGGTTCTAAAATGAGTGGTGCACTAAAATCGACTAAAATGGGTGGTGAATTCACCTACCCCAAAATGGGATCCCATTGGTTTTGACAACCACAGCCACTTATTCTTCTACTTTCTTCTTTAAGCATCTTGGGGCCGCGCGGCCAGCTCCAAATCCTTCCAGAGATCCGGCGATCCGACTGTTCAGGCTCCAATCAATGCCGAGAGTGGGGCATTTTGTCTCTTCTCGCCATGTGCCCCCATTTGCCGAAGCCAATATGTTCTCTTTTGGCCCCTCTTGGTTTTTTAAGCGGAATCTATCACCGGACATATGTTTCTCTTTTTTTCATTTTGGGCTTCAGCAAAGGGAAAAGTTTGTCCTGAGCTCTGAAACCGAGTTCTTTTTGTTCTTCTTGTTTTTTGTTCTTTCTTTTGTTTTCTTCTTTTCCCCCCCCCTCCCCCCTTTTTTCCTTTTTTTTCCGTTTGCGTTGAGAGGCCCTGGCTCTGCGGGTGAAGCTGATGCGGGAGGACCAGGACCTCCAGTCTCAGAAAACCAGCCTGAACCACTTGGAGCAGCAGGCTGGAGGGTGGAATTCTAGGGGCGTGGCTTTTTTTGGTTGGACTTTCTTCAAACATGGCGAAGTGGTTTTACTTTTACCTTCCCTTCTAACTTCTAACTTCTAAATTCCAACCACCAGGTTTGCAGCAAGGAACAGGGAGGCCCACATAGAATAGGGTGTGCTTGAAAGCCGAGCAACAGCTGGGTTACGAGGGCCGTGCGATTGTTTGTATCTGGGCAACCTGGGGAACTTTCTCCGGAACAGCGGCTTGGATGACAGCAATCATCAACACAAGACAAGGCCCAATGCTCCAATACTGAAGTTACCTGCAACCAGCTGTTGGGTTTCTTCAAATCGAGTTTCCTCAATATGACAAGATATGACCATGTGGGCGCGTCGTTTTCGATGGTACCCTTTTTGCGGTTAAAGGGAAACCAAAGGGAACCCAACATATATATATATACATATATATATGTATGTATATATATATATATATATGGGGGATCCAACCTTAAAAAAGGACATACCTGCTCGCTTTCTGAGTTCATGAACTTTAAGCTTTCAACTTTGGTGGCCAAATCATTTCGTTTCTTTCGTTTCTTTTGGCCAATCCGCTGCGGACGGGCGGTTGCTTCTGCTTTCCCGCGCCGAGCGCGCGGCCTCGCGCGGCCTCGCGCGCGTGAGGCCGCGCAGAAGTTGGAGGCCGCCACGGGGGAGTTGGACCGTGCCAGGAGCCTCACGCAGGAGCTGAGCAAAGACAAGGCGCCGCGCTTCTGGCGGGGGTGGGGGGTGAGATGGGGGGTGGTGTGAGGGGGATTCGGGGGTTGGGATGAATGGGGTTTGCTGGCTTTCGGCATTGGAGAAGGGCTCCTCGCGATTCACAGTGTGCGTTGATTTCGTTGTGCATTTCTGTTTGTTTTGTTCCCTCGAACTGGTTATGTAATGATGTCGCCTTTTGCTGAGCGGGCTGCACGCCGCTCCGAGAGAACTCTTATTTGGTTTGTGATTGTCTGTTGCTTTTGCGCTCTCTATTCCACGAGAGAACCCCAAGGAATATGCGAAGGAGTTCATCATTTGTTTGGTTTGGGGACTTTGACTGTCGGCTTACTGAACGGTTCGGAACGGTCATGAGATGCTTGGATTGAAAGCTCCAGACCACTCACGGCTGCACCCCACCAAACAAGAAGGCCTTTGAGGCTGAGTTGGTGCCCCTCCATGACACACTAGCGGGAGGGAACTGATGCCGCAGGTAAAGAGGCAAAACATGGCCACTGCAAATGACTCCAAGTCCTGTTGGAGAGCAGGCTTGCCCAATCGTATGAGTATTTGGTCGACAAACTCCCATGGAGATGTCACTACAGGCCGGCTGCTGTAGTAGGGTATTTGTGCTGTTCGAGATGGGGGCTCATCCAACCAAGTTGGCTGCACGCATTTGTCAGCAACTTGTTTGGGGGTGCGGAGACAGGCAGCCGCCCTGGGCAATGGCGCATAAGGGAGTAGTTATGACAAAGGGCCTCGGCAAGGAGTATTTTGTTGGCAAACTTGCTTCGTGCCATTGTACAATTTTTCGTGCGCGAGCCTCGCCTTGATCGCAACGCATGGAAGAGAATACGATCGCACAAGTTCGCAGTTCAGCACTGGCCACGGTATGTTTTTTGTTACGGGCTGTTGGGGGCTGGACTCGACATGATGGACCTCCTACAGAAAGCGCCACATATTTACTATGTTGTTCTCCGTTTGCTTTAATTAGTGTTCGGCCTGGCATATCCCCGTATTCGGCAGCATGTACAGTCTTTGTACAGTTCTTGCGGGTCTGCACGTGGTTGGTTGAGATCAAGCTTTTCTGGAATAGACCCTTTCAAAGCGAACATCAAATACTCTGGCAGGGCTTGCAAATGCTCCATGCCCAATTTTGAGCATGTGGTGTTCCTGTTTGTTCCCCGTGGCCAAGGGGGACGGTGCCGCCTGGTCCAACCCACCCCGCAACCAAGCAACCAGGCAACCAAGCAAGCAAGCAAGCAAGCAACCAACCAACCAACCAACCAACCAACCAACCAACCAACCACTCCCTTTTTCCCCCTTGTCTTCCCCTCTCCCCGGTCCCTTTCCATCCGAACCTCCCCCCCCGCCGGTCGCCCCTCCCTCGCCAGGCAGAGGCCTTCCAGGAGCTCGCGGAGGCGCGGAGGACGTCTGCGCGGGCGGAGGCGGAGCGGGAGCTGGCGCATCAGCAGTCCCTGGAGGCGGAGCAGCTGGGCTGAGAAGTCCTTGCCCGGGTCTTCACTGGTCCAGGGGAAAAGAAACCTCCCTGGAACCATGGCCGTGGCTGTCAAAAACCGTCTTGGGATCCCATTTTGGGCAGATTTTAGTGGGGATTGGGATGGATGTTCACTGAGGGTACGGGATTTTGACCCATGGAACCACCCGTCCACTTCTCCACCTCTCCACCTCCATGGTTGCAGCCAACCACTGGGCTTCATAGGAAGTCTCACGGGCCCACTTTTCCACATGGGGTGGGAATTTCATGCAAATCCAGTGAGGGGTGCGGATGTTCAGGGTTTTCGAGCCATTTCCCTTTGAAGGGAACCTCCAGTGGATCGATCGGTTGAAGGGAAACAAGTAAATTGACAAACTTTTGATCCGGGGTCAGTTGGCCGGGAACTGTGAAAGGGGGGGCCCTCATGATTTGCGGGGTGAAACGCTTCCATTTGCGTTTCAGAAGGTTTGTGTCTTTCGCTTGGGTTTACAGGGAATCACTGGACATTTGTGTTCTTTTTCTGGCGACTTAAGCAAATGGAAGCTTAGAGTGGTGGGATCTTGCATTTTCTGGGGGTCTCACAATTCTTGGTGTGTCCCTTACCACAATGGGTTGTGAGGATGCTTGTGTAGGGTCGGGGAAACTCAAGGCGGCCGTGGGTGAAAAAGAAAGGCTAGACTCGTTGTTTGGCCACCAGAAGGAACGGGCTGGCGGTCCCGTCATTTTGAGAGCTCATTTGTCGGGTTGACAAACCCCACGTAGAACAACCCAACCTCTTGGTGCAGAGGGTAGACGTCCTTCAAGGATGTGTGGCAAGCCATGGCAACCACACGTATTCATACCGCATACACGTCGTACACGTATGCTTATACAGAATGCACGGTTGGCAGTTTCCGCCTGCTTTTTTTGTGCTCTCCCCCCGGCCAATGGGATTCCCTTAAAGGAAGCCAAACGAGGATTGTTGTTTTGGGGGGTCATTCCAATTCTCATTCCCTGAGCACCGGCAAGTTTTTGTTTGGGCCCAAACAGAAATCGGTGGACTTTCAGAACGGGGCGTGGGTTCACTCGCGGAGCTCGCGGCTCCGAGGATGGCTGCGTACGAGGCGATGAAGGCCTGCGATGCTGCGGATGAGGATCGCAAGAAGGCGAGGGGAACCCGGGGCCCGGGAGAGGAAACGCGTCGGCCAACTTTTTGGTGGGAATGTTGACCCCGGATTTTCATAAACCCTGGTTCATTAATATGGCCGAAAGTGATGAATTCCCACCCCCTATGAACACTTCGCGTACACATGTATTGAAAAGCTTGCGTCGGACACAAGAAATTGCAATTCGGGATGAACAAGCTGTACTTGATTGAAACGCTGAACAACAAAAACATGTAAGCAACCGCTGACCCCGAAATGGTTCATGCAGTTCATAACCCTTCTTTCCGCACAACCCCAGCTCCTGATAGGTTGTGTTTCGAGATGGAGGGCGTTCCGCAATTGGCAGTCCCCCTCTGTCGTGAAGCCCCGCCTCAGGGGTGTTTTTGTTTACTGTGCTGATGGCCCATCACCTGATTGCGCCCTGAACATGATTGGTGGACACCCACCTCCCCCGGATGCAACAGGGTCCATTTCCATTCAAAACCCACGCCCATGCAAGAGGCACGCGCATGTGGTGTTTTTTTCCACGCAGGATCAACACAGCAACATCCTGATTGCTCCCCCCGAAAAACAAAAAAGAAAACATCCGGAAAAGCAACACTTACTTCTTCCTTCCAGGCGTCCTTTGCATTCTGGCAAACTCTCCAAACTCTCAAATCCCGCTGGGTTTGTTCCCTTGAATCGGTTGGGTTCCAGCACTCCCCCAACTGCTTGTTCCCATGTCCAAAATCCCAAGCCCGGACTACTGACTGTCCAAGAAGCAGTAGATGGGGGGTGCTGGTAGAGGAATTTGCTGTTGAGGAACTCCCTTTTTGGCTTTCATGTTGATTTGCAGGTGGGTAGCCAGGGAAACCATCATGTGAAACCTCAAAGTGTTTGCGTATCCAAACAGCAGAATTCAGGTTTCTCACTTCCTGAGTTTAGTAATTTGTTGGGAAGACCATCTTAGTGTTAAATGACAAGTGTGGTTACCTTTTTCGGCCAATCCACCCGATCGGAAGTGAGTTTATTAATTTATTCATTGTTTATTATCTTGGTGGCTCCCAGCCATCCGGTTCCTTGGCCTTTTTTAATTTTTCAAATGCTCTATTTTTTCGCTTTTAGGTGGTTTCGCTGCGAATTTAACCCACTAATAGTTAGTTAAACTTTTGGCCGGGGATCAGCGAGTCGCTGGAGTCGCCGAGTGAGGTGGAGGCTGCGCTGCTGCAGGTCACCGAGGACTTGGAGCGGGCGGCCAGGAGCCAGCGACAGGGCCAGGACCGATTGTCTTTTTCGCCCCCCCCTATTTTTTTGTTTGGGGGGGGGGGGGGGGGTTAGGGTGTATGGTTTAGTTTTTGTGTTTTTCTTATTCGGGCGAAACCCCGAAAAATCAGGTGTTACCTTTGTGGATCCTTGCAGGGGTTGTGGTGTTGGCGGTGTGTTCAAGTGCAAAGGTAGCGATTAGTCGGTGGTTTGGATTGGTGGGCACTGGGAATTTGAACCCCGCGCGCGCTTTGGAAGAGGCCCGCTTTGCAGAAATAGGAGGGGGGAAGCAGTTAGCATCAGCAGGGAAACCAGAAAGAAGATGAAATGCGCCCCGCGCCTTTCTTCAAACAGGTTCAATCCAGGCTTAGGCTCTTCCACATCACAGGATCACGAAGAAGCGAGAATCTGCACCGGATTCAAAAGAAAACTGGTGGTGTGTTTTTTGATTCAGGGTCTCCTTCTTGACACTCGTTCTTTTTGGGAGGAAACCCAAAGTCAGGTAACCCTTCGCTGGTGGTTTGGCCACCAAACCACCAATCCAAAATGAATGGGAAGGAAGCTGACAAAGGAAATCATGGGGAGGGACCAAGTAAGTTTTCATTAAGCCACCAATAAGGTTTAATAAGGCCTTATTTGGGGCTTATTGGGGCTCCCGCCCCCCCAGCCCCCATCCCAGCCCCCATGAAGGGAACCCCTCCTTCAACCACCAAACCACCATCCAAATCCATCCAAAATGAGTTGGATGGAAGCTGACAAAGCAAGCCCGGCGTTTTGCCCTGAGACAAAACCCAACCCCTCCCTTCACCACCAAACCACCAATCCAAAGCAATCAATGGGAAGGAAGCTGACAACGGAGCCCAACGATTTAGAGCGAGACGAAACCCACCGATTTCAGGACCTCTTCGCCAAGGGCGAGGCCTCCACGCAGAAATTCCAGACACTGGAGGCGCAGGCGGGCCGGCCAGACGGAAGGAACCCGGGAAATGGAGCGCCATTGCTGGGTGCTTCCAAAGTGTTTAGAGGTGTTTAGAGGCTTTTTAGTTGGTTTAGTGGTAGTTTTTAGTTGGTTTGTAGTTTTGGGTTGGTTTAGTAGTAGTTGTTTGTTGGTTTAGTAGTAGTGTTTAGTTGGTTTAGTTGTAGGTTTTGGTGGGTTTAGTGGTATTTTTTCGTTGGTTTAGTTGTAGTCTTTAGTGGGTTAGTGGTAAGTCTGACAGTTGTCGACTCTAGCAGGGGATCCGAGGATAGCCTAGATTTGTAGATGAAACCTCCTTTGGGAGCTGGGCCCTCCTTTTGGGTTGCATGTTAATTTGTAGGGGAGTATAGGAGGCCTTGGCTGTGCCCTTGGTTTGGTCGTTGCGAATGCCGTTCAGGAAAGCCCTCATGATAGTATAGGATTCCCCTATGTTTAGGCACGCCCTATCAATTTAAAAGGAACGAACAGGACGCAAATTGACAAGCCGTTTGGTGAGGTGATTAGCTTCATCACATAGATGGTTTTCTAGTTTTGGCTCCAGATACTGACAAGTGCGGTGTATGTCGTAGCGATACATGTGCACCCGATGCATTGCTGCCGTTGTTCTGGCAGTTTCATTTTACTGGTTGGTTTGATGCGCAGAGAGCGAGTTGAGAAATCCTTGGATCTCCACTCACGAGCTGTGCAACATGATCGTTTCGCCTTAACTATGAATTCCATTTACGAAGCAGCCCGAACGGAATGGTCATGCCGCATGCCTTTCTGTTTTGTTTGGATGTGAGTGAAGGCACCTGAAAGCATTTGCTTCTCATTGCATTTGGACATGTGAACTCGGCTTCTGCAGACCCGCAAATGGGCTGGGAGGACCCTTCCTGTCAGAGGAAGCCCCAAAAGTAGATTGTGTCCTTGCTAAATGGGGAGCTGTTTCTGATTAGTGCGGTCGGTTCTGGCAGCTGTTTCCAGCACCCTAGGTTGGTGTGGCTCCTTTTGACAGATTCCTGTCGCTTTGAACTTTGAGATGCTTGGAACTTTGGTGCAGGGGAGCCAGTCCTCCGCATTCCTCCGTGACCATTCATGTTAAAGGAGCAAGTAGGGGTCAACTCCACTTCTCTCAGCTGTGGGAGAGAGATTTGCCGTTTTGTCAAAGGTAGTGCCCAGTTACCCGGCGATCTTGGCCATTTGCCTAGCCTCGAGCGAGAGATAAGCCCAGGGTCCTTGTGGATCAATCACGGCAAGTTGGTATTCTCATTTCAGGAACGTAGCCTGGGGCCAGATGCCTCGTGCTCCGTTCACCTGATGAAGCTTTTCCGGACCTTCTGAACCATGCGATACTTCCAAAGTAGCAACTGCCTGAAACCACGGGACGTTGTGTTGTTGCTAGCTGCACCTTCTTTCTTGCAGACCTCAGACCTTGTTGAGGCGTCCCACTACAGCGCGGAGAGCCGCCGGCTTGCGCAGGCTCGGCAGTTTTCGGGGTTTGCCTATCAGCATTTTGCAGGGGTACCAGCCCAAACTCCGTTTGAGGCTTGGCAGCCCATTGCGTCCGACTCAACAGTGACCGTTAACGCATTTGTGACTTCAAACTAAACATACTCTTCCAAAGCCCTGGAAAGACTGGTTCGAGTTTGGTCCGAAAGTTTTAACATGTACTTGTTTCAGGGATTGCAGGAGACGGACATGTGGTGAATTTCACCTGGAGTTAGTTTCGATTAATATTAGGCCGATGTGCTTTGCACCCTGTGGTACAAGCACGCCACCCCTGGAATCTTGCCCGCCACATTCCCAACCCCGGCTGTAAAGGGGTCTGAACGGTGCCTCCATTTTTTAGGTTGTTGGAGGAGCATTTTGGGGTGTTCCCCTCGCCAAGCCAAGGCAACTCTGGGATCAATTTCAACCACATTGCTGCATCATGGCTTTCTCATGGTTTTCTCTTGCTATTATAGCGTGAGGGCAGCATCGGGATATATTTAGAGAGGTCCACGACCGGCCTCACCTATGTTCAGCGACAGGCGTTGGCCACTGAGCAAGCGCAGTGCAAGGAGTGCCGCAGCGAGAAGGCGCGATTCGGGTGGCTCAACGTCGCCAAGTTGGTTCCACCGCCTCAGACGGATCGGATTGGTTGCATGATTCAAAGATTTCAGTGGTTCACTGAAGTACGTCTTGGGGGTGGAGAAATTCCTTTGAACCATCTTTTCGGTCATTTTGAGGATGTGGAATTCTCCCCAGAAACGGAGAATATAATTCCGTTCGATTTGGGATTGTTTGGAGGGTTGGCGGCTGGAGCAAAATCAAGCCCTTTGGGCCCAGAACATGTGAGATGCGCTCAAAAGAAGGCAATCGCTGAAGCGCTGTCCTAGGAAGGCTTGGGCAGGGAGCACGCCTTGGTCTCGAAGGGGTGGTTGAGGCAAAGGAGGTCCGCGCCTGAAGGAACAGAAATGGACAGAATCCTGCGCTTTACAGCCTCAAAGCAATGTTGAATCTGGGATGCGGGGTGTCCTTCTACATTGTTTTGTTTGGTGATTTAATTAAGTGGTGCACCTCGTACATCCACAGCATGAAACCGCGGTATGACCTAATCTGCTTTCATGGTCCAACAGAAACCATTCCCTTGGCCTTAGCTTTGGCAAGTACCCGCTCAATGAGCCCAAAACAGCGATACATTCAGCCTTTGCGGAATGGCCATGAGCCACTGAATGTGCATTGTTTTCGCTGTTTGGACCAGAATTCTGAGCATGTCACAAGAGACCATGATCATCTCCCGACCGTGGCTTTTGACTCTGGGCGATCCTTGGCGTCTTCTCCTTGACGGAAACCCGGGACCTCCGCTGCCCTGCTTTCCTTCGCCAGGGGAAGCTCGTTAAAACCCTTCGCGGTCCAAACGAGCGGACGGGGAGCACCCGGCTTCGCCGCGAAGCATCGCCTTTCCGCAGGACCGCGCCCAGCAGGAGCTCAGAGATCTCAGCCGCCTCACCCGCTTCGCGAAAAAGAAAAGAGCCGCCCGCGCGCGCGGTTGGCTGGATTGGCCAAGGCTGGTGGCGCGGTTTCTCCGCGTCTGGGTCACCACGAGTATGCAAAGGACACCGGCCGTTTGGAGGGCAGGGCCTTTTTTTTCTGCTCCGCTTCCCACATGGTGCGAGGCAGGTCTTCCGGACGTGGGTGGAGGCTGAGCATGGTCTCCAAAAGATGTACGCGGTGCACGTACATGGAATGTTTTACAGTTGAAAGCAGTCGGAAGCAGCTTTCCTTGGTGAGTGCCGTTTCTAGTTTGGCAATTGTCATATAATTTTAAGTTCCAGGATGCAGCGTGACGCAGAACGCCAAGCATTCGGAAAGCAGCAATCCAGGCCAAGAGCCAAGCTGCGAAGCACATGGTTCAGGCACAGCGTTGTCATGTTGTGGAGCTGTGGGCTCGATTGGATGAATACTTTTGCCAGGCTGGTCTCCAACTAGGTAATGTTGACCCCGGATTGTATAAACCCCTGTTTATTAATATGGGGGTGTTCCCCTCCAAAAGTGATAAATCCCCACTAAAACCAGGGACACCCCCATATTAATAAGCAGGGGTTTATTGATCCGGGTTCAACATTTATGTTGTCAGCGAGCCCCAAAGAACATGTGGAAGGTTACAGACGAGGGCCTTTCCTACGTGTGGTACTGTATCTACCTCACACGGACCCGTTGCTTTTGTCGGATCTGTTTTGGCCTCAGCCGCTTGCTCAAGTTTGCGTTCCAACACTCCAGCACCGGGCGTTCCAAGCGCATTTGGCGGGAATTACGCAGTTTGTTCCACCTATTGCTTTTCTTCCTGACGGCTTACCATGATTCCAAGCCTGGAACCACCTGAATCCGCCCTTTGATCCAGTTCCTTCGTCTCACGGAAGCCCACCCACCAAACATGGGCGGTTTCCCTTTGGCTTTCCCTAACTCACGCCAAAACAGCACACACACACACACACATGGCTGTAACTTTCAATAGACAGTCCCCTCAAACATGGTTGGTGGGCATCAATCCCCGAGAGACGATGTCCACCAAAGGGCTTGTAAGTTGATTCACCAATGCGTTTGGTACCATACCGTTCTTACCGTGGACCTCATTTTTGTTGAATCCATCTTGTCTCGCCGCAGGCCGCAGCGCAGCGAATCGGTAGCGAGATCCCCAGCCATGATTTGGCACTGGGACTTGGTGGCTCCCAGCCATCCCGAAGCTTTTTAGTTGGTTTAGTGGGGGTTTCCATTGAACACGCTAAACATGTTGTTAGCAGGGGACCTGAGGACAGCCCAGACTGCTGTTGTATTCTCTTTGCTTGACTGGTCGCTCTCTTGCTCGGATATTGGGATTAATTCAAAGAGTCACGGATTTTTGGAGATGCTGGCCGGGACAGCAACTGCCCATGATCAAAGTAAAGCAGCAGAAGTTGCTAAGTTGTCTAAATAGGTGTCTCGCCTGTTCTTAGTCCCACCAACATGGTTATTTGTTTTGGGAGGGTCGCTCTGCAAACAAAGAACCAAGAACCAAGGCCCCCCCAACTACAAAACAGGCATCCCTTGCTTGGATTGAAATCAGAAATTACGAAACACACACTGAATCCCGGCCTGCACCCACGCATTCACCCTAACCGAAACCTGCCGTGCCCTTCGTCCCCAATCCAACCCTAAGCCCTTCCTTATCCACCCTTACCATCCCTATCCACATCATCCAACCAAAAAATCAAGTGCCCTTTGGTAAGGTATATTGGCCGGGGCTAAAGTGGACAGTACTATGAAAACATGAACCATCCGGAATAGACCATGAAGAATCATGAGCCATCGGAATAAACAATGAAGAAATCTGAAAATACCTTCCGGAATATAGCACGAACAATCCGCAAGGTACACGAACTTTGGTGCATTTTGCCAAGGGATGTTAGGACACGAACTTTTTGACAACTACTGGGTTTTCCATTAAGCCACTAAAAGTTATTCACTCTATTCACTTTCTGCCGGGGAGACGGCGACCAAGTGATCCATCCGGCCAACGCCTCGGAGAAAAAACCGGCGGCTTCCGGTCCTGGAGGCTGGGCCAGCGAGCTCCAGAAGCGCTCCGTGCCCTGCCTGCCGGAGCAGCAGGAGGCGCCGGATGCGGGATGCGGGTGGGGTGCGGGTGGGATGTGTGTGTTTTTTGGGCGGTGTGTGTGTGTGTGTGTGTGTGTTTTTGTTTTCGGTGCTCAACAATTGCAAGCGTTTCTCCACAAAGCCACTGGACTTTTAAATGAGGTGCTGATGTTTACAGCCCGAAAGTCCAGCTGGCCTTGGTTCGAACATGGAGAAATTGGACTTTGACGCTGCTACTGTTGGCAAAGAAAAGTGCTCTTGAAGTGCTTCATCATTTGGTGGCACAGGGTCACTGGTTTGTGGGCCTGTAGCCATGGTCCTGGAAACTCAGCCGATACGTGTTTGCTAGGTGGACTCGCGGTCCCCGTTTCAGAGATGCCCTTTGTGGGGACATCGTAGCATCGTATCGGGTGGTTTTGATCTATGGGCCAAGCTCAGCGGTTCCTCGATCCACGCCGAAGCGCTTTTTATTGATTTGACCTTGTGTTTTGGTGCTGCCGCCGATGAAGGTCAAAGTATCCAGCTATAACAAAGATTTGGGGGGCCCCTGAGTTTGTCTCACTTCCTGAGTTCCTGGACTTTATGCTTTGTTTGGGAAGACCTCATGGTAGTTGTAAAAAGAAAGCTTGGCGTGTTTTTGGGCCGTCCACTCGGGAAGTGAGTTGCGCAGCTTCTCCAGCTTTGACATAGATTGGGAGGATGACGCATGTCGAAGCTCATGGGATTTTTATCGCTGACCAACTTTCCACAGACCTACCCGGCTGAGGGCGCCTCTGACTGCCAGAAGGGTTCCACTGCCCCTAAACCACAAGGGAAGCTGAATATACCCTCCCATGGATCCTGACAGTAGAACCCCTGGAAGACACATTTTGCCTCTCAAGACCTTCTGGTCACCGGATTCCGTGTTAGTGGGAAGGCGGGTACCCACTACACATTGGTGTGAGGGCTATATTCATTGTTGTTGTTGTTTTTGTCTTGAGGGGAACCCTTTTCAGCTTGCTTTGTCTTCAAAACCAAGGAGCATGACCCAAAGAAAACGGTCCAAAGTTATATTTGGGTATGGGTCAAGACTAACCCAGGAATTGGACCTTTTTGGTTTTAGTCCGGGTGCCTATTTTTGAGCCACACCCATTTTGACGCCAACGTCACGCCGCAGCTTGCCGTTTTTGCCTCAGGTGGAGCGCTGCTATAGCTCCCCGCCGAGCGGCGACCTGCTGCGCTGCGGCGCAGTGGTCGAGGCATATGCCCCCCGGCGAGAGCGAGAAGAGGAACCTCGGCCATTTGGGTGCGCCGTCTTTTGTGAGTTGGTTTTTAACACACCTTTTTTGGGAGTTGGGACCCTTATTTATGTTCCTTTTTGTGGTTTCAATAGGGGAGCCAGACGACAAAACGCCTTTTTGTTTTGGGGGTGCCCCAAACAACACACACACACACACACACCCAGCTGCCTTTGAAAGAAACACAAGTTCTGGCTTCAGCCTTGGCCTGCGCATCGCGAGCTGAAGCTCCTGCAAGCTCCCAGGTGAGATGCGCGAAAGCTTAGTGACGGCTGCCGGCCGGCGCGCGGGGTGTTTTTTTCTTCTCCGCTGTAGTTGCGCTCGCCAAACGCCCGGCTGGGAAATTGAATAAAGAACAAAGCTTGGAAATGTTGACGTATGTTGACGTATGTGTTGTTTCTGTTATTGTTACGCATAATTAGACGTAGGCACAACATCTGTTGACAAGTGATTTGTCTCATCGGGGCCGACTTTTGAGGGTTCGGTTCGATGCCCAGATCGGCCATGCGGCCATGCCATGGTTGCTCTCCCCTGTTGCCATGTGCGATCCTTCTTGGCTCATTGATATTGATATACCGATATACCCGTTTTTTTGCGGAGAGCATCCCTGTACGCTTCCATCGGCAGGGCTGCTGCGCTTACCAGGCGAGAACTAATCTTGTGATGCTGGCAGCCTTTGCGAGGCACCCTCACAGCGACTCGCACCCAGCTAGACACACCGGTGGACGCGTGCTTTATGCGACGCAATGTCGAATTGTTCGCGAGTCACACGAATTTCAATCTATCACCCACACTTCATGGCCTTGGATAGCACAAGTTGTGATGCCCATCCCAGAGAGCGGGCTATTCGGATGTCGTGCCACAAGGCAGAAGAGTCGCCCAGCATCACACGCGCAAGCTTTGCCGCTTTGCCACAGGAATTTTCAAAAGTAGAAGGCTGCTCTGAAAGTGGTGCGATGTAGTGTGGGTGGCAGTGACACCCAGTCGTGCGGAGCCGAAGCGCGTATAAAGAATCAGGCTCCGCAATTTCGTGTTTGGTTGCCTTGTGGTACTGCTGGATATTGAGCAATGTGCCACGCTCGAACGGCCCTGAAGTTGTAGTAGAGCCTTTTTGGGTGCACTGGGAGACATTGGTCTTTCAGCAACACGGTTTGCTAGTGGTTGCCTTTGTGTGTGTGTGTGTCTGTGTGTTTGTGGAGTGTGACCGAGTCTTGCTTGATTTCGATTTTGCTTGGCTCGATGTGGTTTACGTGTGCATTGATGAATACCTTGAACCGGAAGGATCCGACTGAGCCAGCACTACGGATAATACCCTGTGATCCCTTGTGCTCAGGGTCAAGAAGACTGCAGACAAGTTGAATTCAGTGATTTCATGTAGCCAGATTAAATGCTGCAGCTGTGTAAGTATCGTGGACTAAACAGCTGAGACTTCTAACATGCTAGCAAGTTGGCATGCGCATCTTGCCCAGTATGGTAGGCTACCTGGAGATACTTGGAGGCTATTTCCGAATAGTTTTGGCACACTCGATTGCACTTGAGCTGTCATGACTGGCACATGCCTTCAGCAGGATAGCTGTTTCGTTGGGCCAGGATCCTCGCAAGACTTGGGCACTCAAGATATGCCGCCAGGTCGCATGCGTGGTAGATCTCAAAATTGGGGACCGCCTTAGTTTTGTTCGGTTTGACATCCTTGTTCAAGAACATCAAGCGGGACCTAATTTTGAGACACCCGCATGTCTCATTCGCGCGAGCTTTCGAGTGGCCATGGCCCGTGACCGTGCCGACGAGCGGGCAGGCAAGGGGCGTACCTTTGCCACTCTTGTGCCTCAAATGGGTATGGGTTAAAATTAAAACCACGGGACCACAGGTTTTAGTCCTTGTTTCCATTTACCAGGTGCCATTTCGGGTACCTCTGTTTGACCCGCTGCCAAATCATGTCGGCAGGGTTTGTTGAAGATCTACATCATTGCTTGCTGACTGGCAGGATGCCTTTTCAAAACGGGTTCCCATGAATGTTTGCAACAAAGACAGCCATGCCAACATCAAGTTCACAACGAGGTTGTCCTTTTGTTCATCGAGAGAGGGAACTACTTCATGAAGGAGATTCTGCCGATGTCGGGATTTTAGGGTTTTATTCCGCTTCCGCTTCCAGGAATGTGGAGAGAATAGCAGCATCCCAAGGGACGCTTGAGTACTTGGATGCCGGGCTACTTGTTTACCCGGCAGCTCCAAATTATTGCTGCTGAGCCGGGCAGCAGCACAGGAAAGAATGACACTAGGCCCGCTGTTGTCGTTTGTTTGGCATGCTACGTGTTGCGTAAGCTTCTGTTTGTGCTTTTTGCAATTAGCAGCACAGAGACCTCGCCTGAACTTGCCCTGACCCACTCTGCCCGAAATCTTTGCTAAAACTGTGACATGATCGGCGCCGCGAGCCAAACCCGCAGGTGACTCTCTGGACGCTGTGATTTCACGCTTTCATGCAGGCGGGCCAAGGATCCGAAGGATTCGTCAACCAGTGACCTTTCGCTCTTGATCACGTTCAATGGATTCATGACGTCTTTACACGCTGAGGGATCAAGGTAGACGCGCTCGAAGTGCGTGGCTTAGTGCTTCGCCTCCTCGGCGTCACCCGCAGTGAAAAGAGCGCCAGGTGAAGACTTCCGTCGCAGTGCCAGGACTGTCGGGACCAGCGAGGGCTGTGGGTGAATGCAAAGGACCCTGATAGGGGCGGGGGCCCTTTCAAAGGACTGCATGCCAGCTTGCCACATTGTTTTCCGGGCGCGTATTCGCCTAGGTTCCTCTTTTGGATCGGGCAGCCCCCCCGCTTTTGGATCGCTTGTGCACGTCAAGGTCTTGAGTTGTCATGAGGCCATGGGCATTTTGCAACACGTTGTTTGCTTTGGGGAGGCGAAATGCAAAAGTTGGGATGGGAGGTCTCAGTGGGGTCGAGCGCCTTCGATTGCGCGCAGAGAGGCACTGCAGTTGGCGCATGCACAGACACAAAACCCATCAGCTCAAAGAACTGCTGGTTTCACCCATACCCCTAAAATGGTGGCTTTTCCTTTGGTTTCCCAGCGAAACCAACTAAAAAAGAGCACCCTCAGAAAATGACACACCCATATATGCTGGGTTCATGGACTGCGGATGGGCACTTCCAAAGCATGAGCAACAGCCTTCATTGTGATCCCCAAGAAGGATTCTGACGTCTACAAGCAGAATTGTTCAACAAGGTCCAGACACAGCGGGATCTGTGCCAATTTGCACAAATGCAGAACTACCATAGCTCCCAATGTACCCATCCGGAAAAGCGGGACTGAGCTTCAAGCATGCACTTTGTTGATGACGTGATGGGACGGGGGGTCCTCACAAAGACCGCGTGCTGCGTGAGTGAACTGAACCAAACAATGATATGGAGGTGGTCAAGAGCACAGCAGCCCCCTCCCAATAACTGCACAGCACGGGCTGCATTGATGACGAGCAAATGTGAATGTGGGTCCTGGCGCAAAACATGCGACGCGTGGCTGAAGCAGCGGACCATTGTAAAGCGTACGCGATGCATCGATCGATCGGGCAAGCACGACAAGGCGGCCGCGCCACCCATAAATAGACAGCAAGGGGCTCAGAAATAGGTACCCAAAATGGAACCCTGGTAAAAAAAGAAAAATGGACAAACATTTGCGGTCCCCTGGTGGTTTAATTTTGACCCATACCCACATAGCATGGGCTGTGTCCAGGAAGAACATGAATTGTGAAGGTGGTGTGTCATCATCCAGAACATTTGCTGTGTCGGCGAGTTGTATTGAAGCATGTTTAGAGGAAACATAGACGGGAGCTATCGATCCGCGAAGCGACCAGCGCACCCGCAAACTGTCCACCTTGGTTGACAGGGAAGCCAAAACGAAAGCAACAATCTTCAAATTTGGGGTCCCCATAAGTTCCCTATGACACATCCCCCTGCTATGGCTCTGCACCCGCAGACTGTTGGCAAGGCACGGTCGCGACATGCAAATCCCATGAACATCTTGCGGGACATTGGTATTTTGCAGCCCCATGATGAAATCACTCGCGCCCTCCCCCCCAAAAATGAATAAATCAAGACCAACAAATACCACAAAAGGCCTGTTGGAGAACTCGCTGAACTTCCTTGGACCTAGCTTGTAGGTTGGGGGATTGACAAGGAACAAGTTTGGATTGTGCGCCGGCCTCGGATCGCCAGTCACTGAACTGGCTCGATAGACCAAGGGCTCAGTTCGTCCAAGTTTTTGAATGTCACTGCGCATTTCGCCTCCTTGCCCCAAAGGCTTGTTTGGCTTAGTATTGGCTATTCTAAAAGTAGTATTCCCAGATTTAGGGTTTTCAGAAGCGATGAACCCCTCTTGGGTTGTTCACCAGTCGATCCGAAAGGGCGACCATGACCTCCGGCTTGTCAAGCCGATCTGGAGGCCAGTTGTTTGGCGCTTGGGGGTTTGGCTGGCTTGGCTGGGGCCGGAATCTGAACCAAATGTATGACATGGTTGTTGTTGGGAACCATTTTACATTGTGGTTTAGTGGTTGAAATCCAACCACTCAACTGCTAAAAATTGAGAATTGATGCTCCCCAAACCCAACGTCCACCAAGTTGAAGTTCTGCGTCAAAAACCAACAACTCGTCTCACTGATCCTGATGGCTCTTAGCTCACTTGAGCCACATGCTCAAAGCCGATTCGGGGATTGATGATCCGGTTAGGGATAATCCCCTCGCCATAAATAGCTGCGGATATCCGGCTTCTTAATTCTTAAGCATGGTTCTGAGTAGATCATTTTGATACCGGGTTTTGATCATGACTCACTTGCGTCGAGGAGGACATTCAGTTTCTCCCGAGCTCAGATTGCGTGAGGCCATGCACGTGCGAGCAGAACATCATTTCGCCGCAACACTCAAATGTTTTGACATGACAACAATTTGCCCTCCCATCCGCAAACGTGGCACCTGACATTTCGAGGTCCTGGAAGACCTACTTTCCTTTGGACGGGACCATTTCCCTGATCCGGGTGTGTGCTTCAAACACTCAATATCAGCGTTCTTTGAGGTTGCAAGAAAATGATGCGAAGATGAGCGAATGTCACACTTGGTCATGCCCAATCCATGTCGGCCAGTTGCTTTTTGATCGAGAGAGACAGATGCACTGCTGGTGCCAGTGGCCAGATGAGAGTACTCAGCTACATTTGGCACATTTTGGAGAGTCCCCGGTGTGTTGTCATTGAACATGTGTTTAGCCTTGCTTGCCGCAGGCTATCAGGTCCCGTGCAAATTAAGCTGGATTGAGTTGGGGCGCCTGGGAGAGGTCAAGACCCAGATCTGGCTTTCATTTGGTGGAACCAGACAGCATGTTGCAGTTACTCGCACCATGAGTTGCATCTTCAACGCAGTACATGATAGAGGCGCGAGCTTCTGCAGAAATGATGGTGTAGTGCTTGGATTGCTAACAATTGCAACATGTAACACTTGAGCTGCTGCGAACATCTAGGGGAAAGCTTGCACCAAGGTAAGGTGGCTTGGCAGTCTGAAGCTTTGTGAACACTGCCCCAAGCACTTGTGCAAGAAGTCCCACTGTTGTCCTGACAGTTTAGCAATTTAGCATGAAAGCTGTTGGAAGTTCTTTTGGGACACAATATTGTCTCGAGCCTTTTGCTTCCTCTTGCCTCAATCATCAAGCTCACCACAGACATCGCGCGTTGCCATCCTGGATCCCAGCTGCCAATTTTCTAGCTGCTTCAGTGCGTCCCTGTGACGGGAACGCTCTTGCAGCGCTCAGGCTGGGCGTGATTCTGCCAGGAAGATTCGAAGAGCGGGTGCCGTTAAATACTTGTTTCCAGAGAGAGAGAGAGAGAGAGAGAGAGAGAGAGAGAGAGAAAAAAAAAAGCAAGAGAGAGAGAGAGAGAGAGACCAGACCGAGAGAGACAGAGGGAAAGAGAGAGAGAGAGAGAGGGGGAGTTGAGTAGGGAACAGGGTTTGACCAATCCGCAAAGGGGTTGGCGAGCCAGCATGGTGAATTCCCCGTTGCACTGCTGCTTGACGGTTGCACACTCTTCCAAAGCCAAAATCAACTGGTATTCTTCCAGGGTAGCCATACAGTGCAGGTGACCAGGCGATAGTGAGCTGCAAACATTTTGCAGAATCGAACAGCATCAGGCCAATGGATCGGGGCGTGCTAGTTGGATGTTCTGCAATTCTGCAACTGCCACGCTTTTTTCAAATGAGTTTTCTTTGTGCAAGGTGACGAACATGGCACGCAGGTCATATTTTTGGGGTTCCGTTGCAGCATTTTGTAGGCATGATTCTTCATAATGAGACAAGTTCGGGGTTGGCATAGTCTCACCTGCAGCACGGGTACTTTCGGGAGCGGCAGGAAAAAGAGCTTCACTGTGCATTGGCTGAAGTGATGCGGCCTCTTGCCTCTTTTTTTTTTTTAAAGCTGTTGTATGTCTTGAAATGAGAGGCCTCTCAAACGAAACGAGACAAAGAAAACAACTACATCCAGTACCCTCCTGCCCACAAAAATGGAACCTCAAAAGAGCCCCTTTCCACGCGTGGTTTGTTTTTGAGGAGACCTCTCAGGTTGTGTTTTTGTGGGCATGCGTTTGGGGGGGGTTCTTCTGTTGACCCCAACAACGTGCCTTTTAACCCCGTTTCATGCTTTCTTGTAGGAAGGCACGCAAACTTAGGAATCCCTCGTAAATTGGACACCCCGCTATTAATTTATTAGTTCAAGGTCAATGTGCCCTGGAATTGAAGCATCGACAAAACCACACCCATGTTCTTTCTTGATGCGTCCAACACGTGCGTGTGCGTGTGTGTGTGTCTGTGTCTCTGTGTCTCTGTGCGTGTCTCAGTGTGTGTCTTTGTGTCTGTGCGTGGGTGGGTGTCTCACTTCCTGAGTTTATGAACTTTAAACTTGTTAGGAGGACCATTTTAGTGGTACAGAAAAAGTTCGGACCTTTTTGGGGCCATCCACTCAGCCAGTGAGGTGTCGTTTCTGATGGTTCGCCTTTCGCCCAACGGAAAAACGGCCCCTGGTTGCCGTGGCCTGTGCAAGGAGTCCCATGGCTCGCAGCCTGGCACGAATATGTGTGCATACATATATATATATATATATATGTATATTATATATATATATATGGTATATATGATATATATGTATATATACACTGTTATATGACATATGTGTATGTATATATATATATCATATATATATATATTTACATTTTAAGATTTGGATCCCCTTGAAGATGCCACTTGTTCTTTTGTGGTTCCTTTCACACACCATGTTCAGGGTCTCAGCCTGTCATGAGATTGTCAGTGATTCAGTATTCATCCTTGGCGTAGCTTGCCTTTGGGTCAGCTAGCGCGAAATTTGCAGGCAACATACCCAACATGTGAAGTTTCGTAGTCTTCCACGGCTGTGACTTCTCCGGTACCTACGACTCAACTTCACGTGTTCGACTGACAGTCCAGAGACCCGATGCACGCACCGCATTGTGTACACATAGCACATTGGGGTTGCCTGGGAGACTCTGCCGCGACATGTTGGCAGACGCTGTGCCTTGATTTTCCTTTGGAATGCATGTTTTTTCAGTTGGATGTCCTGCACTGCTGCACTACTTCGCGGCTAGTTTCATTCGCTTTTGCTAAAAGGGATCTTTGGAAGCACATGGGCACACGCCAGCCAGTGGCTCGCTCGCTTCGATAGGTACGTCCTTGGTGCTCGCCTTCGTGGCGGCAAGCTCAGCTTCTGCCATTGAGTCTGAGGCTTCCAAATGCCATGGGTCATCCACCTGGCCTCAAGAACTCTTGAGATGCTGATTCTGAGGCTGGCACGGCCAGTGGAAACCCTGACTTCGCATGGACTGGCGACTGCACTAGCACGTTCAGTGTCTTGGACATCAGACTGGCGGCTTCCTGAGGATGACTCTGGACTCCGGAAGCCACAGGGCACATTCAGCCAATAGGATTGGACAGGCAGCTCTGAACAGGTAAACTGCATGTCGCTGTTAGTTGGGCAATTGATGAGCTTCCTCTAAGCCTGCTGTTGGGTGATCCAGTTGGGGCACTTCTGCGCATATCCAGGACACTTATTAGTCAATTGAAGACCAGCTGGTTTGCACCCCGGCATCTTTGGCCTGGCGACCCACCTTTGACTCCTGTCAGCTTCATGCTAATAACTAATATGTACTTGTGCTCAGAACTGGTTCAGATGCGTACAGATGAACTTTGCATTGTTTTGGTTGCTCGGTGGCTTGTTTCAGCTACTATGATTGCTGTCCTTGTTAGTGCAAAAGGAGGCAGGTCTTCTTTTTGTACCGCGGTTTGAATAAATGCTCGTTTTGGGGGAAGCCCTGCGCAAACCCTCTGCGCGAACCAGTTTGCCCAGTCTTCCGCGGCCCGTGGCCTCAGGACGCCCGGAGAAGTTCCCGCAGGACAACGATCCCCAGTACTACAACGGGCTGACCATCAACAGGACCTGGGCCCTTTGGGCTTTGGGCCTTTCCGAGTTTTGGGCGCGCTTTGATGGGGCCTTTGCTTTGGGGGCCTTTGGGGGGGCCTTTGGGCTGGGGGGGCCTTTTCGAGTTGTTTTCTTGGGACTGGAGCCATGGGCTCAATGGCCAAAGAATCAAGGCTCCAGGACCTTGGTGGGTTTTTGGGGGCCTTTTCGAGTTTTTCAAGGGACACTGGAGCCATGGCCAATGAATCGAGGCTCCAGCTAGAGGGCTAGGCCAGTCAGCTGCGGAGTTGAAACAAAGACTGAATGTGTGTGTGTACGGTGCCCCTGAATGAAGGACTTCAAGTGCTTATGATGCAAGCCTTCTGAGCCAATCTGAATGACCCCGTTTGAGACCCCAGAAGCAATCTGCGGTGCTATTGAGCCCATTGTGTTTTACTATGTTTTCCAGGCAGTCCAAAGGCCCACCTCGACCCTATTACTTTCAATTAAACCAGTACAACATACTAAACCAACAATTCTGAGCTCCTGACAGCCATTAGGGGCACTTTCAGCACTCACTTTTTGGGCCGACGAGAAGGGTGCTGATGCACCCTGACCCGCCGTGCCTGCCTTGCTCTTCTGGAAAGTCACCTCTCAATATTGAAAAGTGAAAACGACACGCCCCCGGATTTTGTTTATTAAAACGGCGAATTCCTACCCCTCGAGTGGACGGGAGCACATTTCTCAGTGTCTCAGTGGAAAAAGATAGTAAACATTTCCCAAACAACACATTTGCTTATAGGGGAGGGGGGGGAGATTCAATAATAGTGTCAAGGGGTTCGACTCGACGGTACAGATTTCTGGGATTGGTTGCCTGGTGCAGTAGGCAAGGATATGTCTTTGTGGGAAGTGATCATGATATCTCGAACGGCAAGGTATTGTCAGGGCATGGAACCTGCACCCAGGATATAGTAGCGCTGTTGCTGGCTCAAGACATACCGACCACAACTCGATAGCTCCCAACCATCCGGTTCATCCGCTTCTTAGCTTTTAGTGGTTGGGTTTCCGAATTTAAGCCACTGGAAGTTAGTCACTTTTAGCAGGGGATCAGAAAGCAAAGATCCCAGATAACCCGGTGACCACTGGCCGATAGTTGTTTTCTTGTGGTTTTTGATGAGCGACAAGTATACTGGTCCCAATGAATCAGTCCAGCTGTTTGCTGGTCGTTGACGCTCGAATCGTGGCAAATTGGCTTCCAGAATGCAATGCCTCGATTACTGGCAGCATGTCAGATTGTGGCAGGGACCCTTGATGCACCAGAGGAATCTGGCAATATGTCCAGCTGGAATGGTCACCTAAGATTCAACAAAGAAATACGATAGATGTGGGTGTTGATCAATACTCCTGGCCCCAAAATGACCCTGGATAACTTCCCCATTTAGTGGTGAAAGTCATCATCTTTTTTGGTGGTTTCCCCAATGGTCACCCCATGTAAAGGACCTTTTGATCAACCCCCATGTGTTTCGTTCTTCCGTCACATCTGACAGGACATGCTTTAAGGACGAGGAGAACCACAAGCGTTGCCCAGTCTGGCTTAGTGTCCAAAAGGGCCGATGGGAGTCTCTAGGATGCGGAGGAATTTGTTGTAACGGTCGTAAGCTCGTGAGTGCGGAGGGTGGGGATTGCTCGAAGCGAAGTAATTTGTTTGTTTGTTTGTTTGTTTGTTTGTTTGTTTGGCTTTCTTCTTTCTGTCTTTCTTTCTTTCTTTCTTTCTTTCTTTCTTTCTTTCTTTTTTTTTCTTCGTGCGAGTTTGTGTTTGTGTTTATGTGTGTGTGTGTGTGTCCAACCCTGTCACTAAGGGCCTCTCGTGTTTTTTGCCGCAGCGGTCTGGAATGGCTGCACCAGGCTGCTTAATGCGCCAGGCGCATTTACCATTTGAACTAGCGCTTTTCACGCGCCAGACCAATGCCCAATCTGGGGCAAACGGGTAGATTAGCTAGCCTGCGCAATTTTTCCAATCAGACGAAGCATGACACGCAGGGGGCCAGAGCCCGGCTCAGGGGACTCTGGCCAACGAAGACGCCCCTGAGCCGGGGTGAAAACGTACCTGCTTGTCACGGACAGGCATGGGCGCAGTTGACGCAGCTTGCTGTCCCATTTGAACTTTTTGGCGCTGTTTGCGTTTAGAGCCCCTTTGCTACAAACCTTGCTCCGATTAATTCAGTTTCATTACTCCGATGTCTCACCATTTTCCCGTTTAGCCATTGCGGCTTATGATCCTGTACCCTCGACTGTAACTAGATCAACAAGCCACGAGCACACGCATAGGAGAGCCGAAGCATAAATCAAAGAGGGGGGATTACCACAAGTGTGACTCCAGGAGGTTAGTTCGTTCATCGGGCCTCCTGCGCCAGGGTTGCCTGGTGATATCTTTGAGCCCTGTACGGCTCGCGAGTGTTGATGAAGCCCCCGATCGGGCTACAGCAGATTGGACTCTTGGCCTGATCGCCACGACAAGACATGGGTCTGCCATCGCCCGCGTAGCTGATGAAAATTGAGGGCTGATCCCCTCGCAAAGCCTACGGCCGCACAGCCCCACCTTTGACTTATCACGTCCCAGAGACGTAAGCATGAATTGCGGTGTCGCCCGCCTGATGACTAACATCCCCCCTCGTGACTCCATTTGACATTGGTTTTTTCTGACGACTGTCTCAATCTGAATTTGAAGTTGCCTGTGACTCAGCTTTTCCAGCGGCTCAAGTGCTTCCCACCTTCGGACTTGGTGCTATGTCCAATTGGTGGAACAACCCTAACTGGAGCGCGGCAGATTGGGGTTCCAATGCGAGACCCAACTCCCACACATGGAAATCTCAAGAGTGGAAGGAACGTGATTGGCAACAGTCATGCTGGCCCAATCAGAGCCAGCCCCGACCGAGTTTTTCCGAACCCAGCCGCCCGCTAGTTCCGGTTTCCCCGGCAGTGAAACTGCCCTCGACTTTTGTCAGCAATGACGAATTTCTCGATACGACAGCAATCAGCGGATTTCAGTATCCGCGCACCATTCAACCCACAGAGTGGTCGCGCCGTACCGGCCTCGCGGGACGCCCCATCGAAGGTGTCAAAGCGTATGAGTTGTGTCACCGCGGGGTAGGTGAGTTCTCCCTTCGCATGTTGGCCAACGGACGTTTCCAAGGTCTTGTGTGGACCCGCAATTTGATGGAAACGGTGTTTGTCACAGCCCTGCTGCGGAAAATTCGGGAGGGCCACGTCAATATAGACGATGCAGCCCGCGCTTGCTTCGGAGCAAATCCACCCGACAAACACCGGGATTCTGCAGCGTTTATGGCACCCTTGACCGAAGAGCTGTTCCAAGTTTTGAAGCAGAAGGCCCCGCCCGTTTCCCCCGAAGCCGAAGACGAGCTTCACAGGGCCAAAGCCAAATTGGCGGCAGCAGGCCTCAGCCTCACTCCCACTAAGAGGCAACCCGAAGGGAACCCCGATGTACCCTCCTCCAGTGCTCGCTCTGCGAAGCGAGCGAAAACGGATGTTGATCCCACTAATGCTGTTCCTCCGGCGCATGAAAATCCGGATGTAGCCAAGCTACTGCAGGACCCTCCCGTTCGGCAAATCTTGACTCAGCCCAAAGGCGGAGGGGATGAAGACGTCGTTGCCTGGCTTGACGCCTACAAGCCGATGTTTAAAGGCAACTGGCGCCAATTCAAAAAGCATCTCCAGACAGTGCAAGACCTTTTGAAGAAGCACTGCAGCCGCGCCGAACTCGTAGAAGCAGCTATCAAGTTTGGACTGGACCAGAAAATGGCTTCCAAGCTCAACATTCGGAATCTTTCAGCAGTCATCCACGCCGCTCAATATGTGGCAGCCTGACTAGCTGTGTTGACGGAGAAGTTACCCCTCAATCGCCGGTATACCGTTTTTCAAGACACCTTGGAGCTAGGTGCAGCCTGCACGTTTTTTAAACACCACTGTGCAGCCGTCATCAAGGCACCCATTGTTTGGGCTCAAGGACTACTTCATTTATGCCTTATTTTTTATCACCAGTCCCAGAACAGCCGCGTCGGCAGTTCGTCTTTTGGCCACACCATGCAACTCCGTTTTCAGTCGTTGGGAGTCAACCCCATGACTTACACGTGGCCGTGGTTTCAATCCCCCAACGCAGTGTACGTCAAGCTCGAGGTTGATTGGCGCCTTTTTAAGAACAATGAAATATACCGGCAGCCATCCCCGAAGCTTTACATCGGATCTACTTCCATTTCTGCGTCCTTGCGCGAAAGCAATCGTATGTCCGTGTTTAACAAACTGAATCGGAATGAAGAAGCACAGGCAGAACTTGCCATCCGATATTGGCAATCACAAGGCAATTTTGAGCGCTTTTCCATCATAGTGCTTGCCACGTTTCACTCTTATCGAGCCGCTTGGATCTCCGAGCATTGTTTCATTGATGCTTGGCAACCCACTTTAAATTACCCATTCATTCTGACACGTTTGAAACGCACTGCGCTAGGGTTCCGACCCACAAAGAAAAGGAGACGCCTGACTGAATTTTCAACACATGGTCTCCGGTTATGGCGCAAACTTAGGAAGCGACTTTTTTATTCCAGCCAACCCGCTGCCTTCTCAATACGAAGAAAGCAAGCGTGGGAAATCTTGTTTGATGTAGCTAGCCACACACTTGCTAGCTTCCGTGCCTGTACAGTACTTCGGTCCTCTCGGTATGTCAATGATGAAGTGTACGCAGTCATCAGGCTTAGCCTGACTCTGGAAGAGCCTTTACGCTCTCGCACCCGGCAACTGCTGAAACAAGTTGCCAATTATAGGCAGATGACCTGGCCTTCCAATGCTGGAACCCTTTCTCTTCAGCCCATGGCTCACCAATCCTTTTCTCGAGAAATTCGGGAGTGGCTGAAAAGTCAGATCCGCCGTTACAGACACATTTTGGTGCCTTTTCACTTGCCCAGTACTCAAATTCGAGAAGCGCCCCACCGTTCCCTTCTCAAATGTTTGCATAACACGTCAGCGTGGGATGAATGGCTCTGCTGGCAGTCCCTTGCTGATCTACCATGCTGCTGTGATGGATCTATTTTCGCTGACGCGACCTGTATGATCGACGGACACATTGCCTGTGGTCTTGAACAACTAGCCCTCCATCATCCTTGGATGGAATGGATCGGCAACTGTAGCGCCACCTCCACGCTATTCCCAGGCAAAACACACCTTTTTCGTCGCAACCTGCTCGTTTTTTCCAAGTGGCGGAAGAAACAATCCTTGCCACCGAGCGTTGAGACGGAATTTGAACAGCTACTTCTTCAACAGTGGAAGCTTCACTACGAATCTCTCATTTTTGAGCCCCGACTGACTTGGCAACACGTCCAAAAGACGCGCAATTTGCTTGACTTTCGGGTGGTGATTCACAATGAAGACCACCACAATTCACATTTGATGATTTACTGCCCGCGATTCTATTATGAGTCAGTATTCCGCACATGGGACGACCCCGATGTTTTCCAACCACTGGAAGGATCCCCCGAGGAGTGGCAGCGCTGGGTCACGTATCAAGTCCCATCCTCCCTCGCCACGCGGTACCACTGGGGCTTCACGTGGGGAGCTCAGCTCCCCCGTGGGTTTGTTTTCTTGAAGCGGAAGAAACGCTTCAAGAAGGGCCGCACGATAATATCCTACAGCAACTCTTTAATGAAGAAGCTCCTCAAAGCGGCATCTCAGGTCATTTCTTTGCTTCTTCAAACCGTTTGGGTTGACGGACTTGGAATGTACAGTCTTCCTCGTTTATGGCAGGAACTACATCAATTTCTGCGGACTACGCATCCTTCTGTGCACCTTTTCGAGGCAAACGATGACCTTATTGGGTTCTTTAATTCTGTTCCGAGGGCAGCAGACATCCTGCAAGCACTTCGCCAACTTCTTGCAGATTATGGCGCAACTCACGAATTTCTGCACGTCAGCACGACTCTCTCCCGGACCGCTAAACATGACAAAGCTCTGCCAGGCAAGCCCCGAGGCGGCTCCAACGCCCACGCAAAGAGCGTGCGTTTGAGCGACGTCCCCAAGATCGTTGAACTGTCTTTTGAGCTTGGGATATTTCAAACAGCAGGCCGAGTTTACAGGCAAATCCGAGGGACCTGTATAGGAAACCAGATAAGCCCTGTCCTTTCCAGCTTGCCAGTCATTCTTAAAGAACGAACCTGGCTTAAGTCTTGGCACACCCAGGGCTTTTTTCAGAAGTTTCTTCAAGAGACCCGTCAAGTTTTGTTGTTCCGCTATGCGGACAACCGGTTAATCTTGGCCAGTCATGAAGCTATGTCTCACCCTGTCATGAAAGAATTTCTGCAGCCGTCCTTTTATGGAGGGTCTATAGAACTTGAATCCGTGCAGGATCACAAATGGCTTGGATTCCAGATTTGTGCCCATGATCGCTCAGCCATGTTCGTTTTGCCGGATAAGCCGTGGATGATCAAACATCCGCAGAGCGCCGGGTCTTGGAGACTTATGCTTAGTAGCTACAACTCCCGAAAAGCATTAATTCGCAAATATGCCTGGCCGCCAGCAGCCAAGGCTTCCCAGTTGCATGCGCTCCGTCAACTGTATATAGACAAGGGGTATCCGTCCGCTCTTTTGCTTTAACCAGATGCTTGCAACATGCCGACCAAACCAGTGCTTCGCGTGAATTAGGCGAGGTCTGTGTCGAGAACAATTCTGTGCCGGCATCGTTGAAAGGCAACCATATATTTCTGATGATCTTGGTTTCACACCTGCGCATTCCGTTCCGTGCCAACATAATCTGGAGACCTCTTGCCTCTCTGATCTTTTGCTCTCTGGAGTCTTTTGGCCCGAGACCTGGTGTTCCTAGGCCGTGTATCTAAGCACACGGAATCCCGCCATGACAACCTATGTGTTTCAGTTCTTTGCAGATAGCAGAGCTACAGCGAATTCCTCGCCAGCTCAGCAGTGGTCACTAATTCGTCCTGCATGCCACGAGCCAAGCCTTCTTACCGTGCACGCGCCCGATCCGAATAGGCCTTCCCACCGTGTCTTGGAAGCGCCGCCAGGATTTTTTGACCCCCCCGAGCAGCAGTCTCAACCTGATGCTCGTCAGGACAGACCGCAGACTCGTCAACGGGACAAATCACGATCCCGTCGACGTTCCCGTTCCCGGAATCAAGTGCGCAAGCGCAGAGATCGAACCTCTCGCGAGCGCAGGGGTAGGGGTCGGCGTGACGATCGCCACGCCAAGCGCCACAGAAAGCGTTCCAGGCAAGGCAGGTGTCGGAGTCGAAGCCTCCCTCGCCAACCAACGCTGCCGCCAAACACCCCGGAACCCTCTGGGCACCCTGGGCACCCTAGGCACCCTGGGCACCCTGCGACCCCTCATCAAGCTGCAGCGCGAAATGATTTACTTGCATTTCCTCCCGGGCGGTTTGATGTCCCACAGCGACCACATCCCGCGCCGATCCAATCTCACACGCCATGGCTTACTAGCAGGGGTCAGCCGCCTCAGTCGATTTTTTTCAAAAACCGACCGGCTCAGCCTCCGGCATCTGGTTCCAAGACTAGTGCCCTAGGCTACGGACCTCTTTACCACCATGCTCCACATAGAGCAACCCCGCTAGTCACTGCAAATGATAAGAGACCGCGCACACCCGAAAGAAAGACGGCTGCTCAAAACCGGCAGCTGCTACGGGCGCCAAAACTAAAAGGTGCCGAACGCATTGTTCCACACTTGACGGCGGGACACGGCTGAAAGGTGTCACATTAGCTTGAACCCAGGCCTTTCGGCGCTGGTGTTCCACGACGTCTTGAATCGTCAACGGGAACAGCCAGTGCGGAGAGAGCATGTTATCTGCCTGTCGTCGAAGAATGCGTTGAAGCCAGTCTTGGACTGTCTGATCAACGAACGTCTGGCCAGGCACAATGAGACCACTCGCGGTGAAATTCCCAGAGGACCCGGTCAATGGTGTTCCGATCTCAACCGTGCATGTTTTGGCCAGCGCGATCATTGCTTCGGAAATGCCGTACACCCAGATTTTTAACCAGCGTGCGGTAGCAGCTACAGCCACTACCGGCACCGCTGTTTGGCTGTACCCGTCCCAAGCTTTTCCCGGAGTCAATCAAGACCGTGTAGCTGGCGAGTATTCCATGCGGTTTGTTCATTTTTCTTCTCAGCTAGGCCTAGCCGGGATATTTCGCGCCGGCATCATCATGCCAACTTCGGCTGAAACCTTAGCGCTTGACTCTGAAAATGAGTCCCAGGTCGGCAGGAAATGCCCATTAGGTTTTTTCTGTAGAGCTTCGACCGAGTGCTACCATGAGCGGAGTATCCTTGACTTTTTGCTTGCGTGCTCGGAGCACCCCAAAAACACCACCAATGTGGGAGTAACGGGGACTGTGTCCGGCACTCATTACAAGTTCAACCGAGGGGATACCTGGAAGGAACAAGCTCTTGCCTATTCTTACCCCGCAGTGCGTAGTGGCAGCAAAGACAAACGATGGTGTGTGCGCAGCGATTTGGCTGCCATCGACGGAGTGTTCCTAGTGCAAGATCACTCAGACAACTGGGGCACCAAGTGGTTGCCCCAGCCACTGCGCCCATCAGTTGCCATACAATCCTGACTAATCCTTGGTCGCTGATATCCAGCGGCGAATAATTCAGATTCGTGATTCGGGGTGTTGCATGGCATGGCCTTGTCGCATCAGCTATTGCACCTGACCTTTTAATCCGTTCCGGCATGTTCGCATGATAAGCATCTTGACAGCGTTGCAAAAAATGCCCTGTACGTCGGTGCGATGTTCTGATCGTAGTCAGTTTTGTGACCACGTGCCATCGTGCCATGTTCGCTGTACAGCATGGGCACTACCACGTTTGCTTTTTTGTTCTGCTTTCGGCTCGAATCCAAGCTTTTGGTTTCCTGTGCCTTTAATCTCAGAAGTCGCAAATTCCAGACCGTTTGAGCCTTCAGGCCACCCAGGTTGGCGAGACGTCACGCAATCTCGGAGTGTGGTTGGGTTTTGTGGGGGTGGTTCTGGGTTTAGCCTGGCCTGCCTCCCCTCCGGCTGCACGTGGTCATACGCCGCGATGGCCAGGGGGGCAGGGCACAGGAAGGAATCCCTGGGTGGATTCCCCGCCTGTGTTTCTTGGTTTTCTTGGTTTTCTTGGGGCGTTCCTTTGTTTGGCCTGGCCTGCCTCCCTCCAGCCGCACGTGGTTACACGCCGCATTGGTCAGGGGGGTAGGGCACAGGAAGGAATCCCTGCGTGTCGCTGGGCTTCTTTGTTTTCTTTCTTTGGTTTTCTTGGGGTTTTCCTTTGTTTTTGCCTGGCCTGCCTCCCTCCAGCCGCACGTGGTTGTTCGCCGCAATGGCTTGGGGGGCAGGGCACAGGAAGGAATCCCTGGGTGTGGTTGGGTCCCTGTCGGGCTTCTTGGTTTTCTTGGGGCGTGGTCTGGCCTTGGACGCCGCAATGGCCAGGGGACTAGGTGAGGAAGGAATTCCTGGGCGTGATTGGATTCCCTGCCGGAGTTTCCGTGGAGCGCAAAGACCTTTGCAGTGTTGAACGCTTCAGTGCCGAGCACTCGGATTTTTCAGCGGTTTCGGATGTACTTTGCCTCGGCGAACCATGATCTGAGTTGCATATGCCCCATATATTTGAGGACCGACAACACGGTCCTCTCTCTCTCTTTTTGGTTTTTTCCGGCTACCTTTTGAAGGAACCCTCCCACCGAACAATTGGCGGCTTTGGTGTTCACCGCCATCCAACAAAGAGGGATGCTATACCTCTCGCCCCTGATCCCCACGCCGGTTCCCTGAGCTCGCGAGCTCTTGCCCGAAGAGCCAGATGCCTGTGTTGGTACCTAGTCATCAAAGGCTTTTCTGTTATTGCGCTTTAACGTGCAGAGTCGCCCGTTGGGCTGGCTGTGTGTGTCCAACCCTGTCACTAAGGGCCTCTCGTGTTTTTTGCCGCAGCGGTCTGGAATGGCTGCACCAGGCTGCTTAATGCGCCAGGGCATTTACCATTTGAACTAGCGCTTTTCACGCGCCAGACCAATGCCCAATCTGGGGCAAACGGGTAGATTAGCTAGCCTGCGCAATTTTTCCAATCAGACGAAGCATGACACGCAGGGGGCCAGAGCCCGGCTCAGGGGACCAACGAAGACGCCCCTGAGCCGGGGTGAAAACGTACCTGCTTGTCACGGACAGGCATGGGCGCAGTTGACGCAGCTTGCTGTCCCATTTGAACTTTTTGGCGCTGTTTGCGTTTAGAGCCCCTTTGCTACAAACCTTGCTCCGATTAATTCAGTTTCATTACTCCGATGTCTCACCATTTTCCCGTTTAGCCATTGCGGCTTATGATCCTGTACCCTCGACTGTAACTAGATCAACAAGCCACGAGCACACGCATAGGAGAGCCGAAGCATAAATCAAAGAGGGGGGATTACCACAAGTGTGTGTTTTTGTCTGTGTGTGTGTGTCTGCGTTGGGGTTGTTTCTTGTTTTGTTCGCTGTTGCTTTACACACATATTCTCACACATACAACTCGGCAACTGAGTGGCGCAAGCTACTTTTTTGCACACACACTACTCGTTCCTCGGGTAAAAAGCCGACCTGGCTTGCTTGATGCTGCCCACAGCCTTGTACATTTAGGTAGACCAGATACAGCGTTCTATGTTTGACAGACCACATTTCCGGACTAGTTCCTGTCAATCACGAGATCAAGGAAGGTGGCTTCTTACCCGACTTGGGCCCTCTGCTAGCTTCGTTCTCGAATTCCACTGGCGAAGATTCACTAAGACAGAAGCACCAAAAGGCCCAAAATTGCAAGCCTGGCAGTTCCGGCCTGTTAAACATTGCCCAGGCACATTGGGGCTGCATGGTGAGCCTGAAGCCTGAAACGTGAAAACTCGGCGGGATCTTTACTGAAACAGCTTATGCTAGAAACCATTTGAACCCTAGGTTTTGGGTTTGCTGACCGTTTCGGGTCGGTGCGCAAGTGTTTGCCCCAGGCTCTGAAGGAGCTTGCGTCTTCTTCGTCGGGGACTGGGGTGGTGGGTGCCCAAGACTTGGCAAGCGTGGTCTTTGGGATCTGATTGGGCTTGCTTTTTCAGGGCTCCTGAAAAGTGATTGGTGGACATGGATCCCCACCTAAATGATGTCCACCAAAGGGTTCCTTTTTAAACAGGGCTCCTTAAAAGATCTCCATTTCGCAACCATTTGGAACATGTTGCTTTTTCAACACCCGAATAAAGGGAAACAACACCATTTGCAAGTTGCAATGTTCAGGTGTATAATGTAAGGATCTGATTGCTTTTTCACAAGGCGACCAGGTCCTAGGAGTTTGCAGTGACTCGTGACCATTGATTGCTTCTTGGTTGTGATTCTTGGGTCTTCCCCCCTTGCTCGATCCCAAGTGCTCTGACGGAGCTACAAAAAAGGGTTATACATATCCTTGGTAGTTCGGTTTAGGTGACGGTCCAAACAAAATATTGAGCTGCGCGCGAAACGGCGTCATCTTGGCGACGTCTGGGGAACGCGGTGTGTTTCAACATGCGCTCCACGGAAGATACCCCGCTTATTCGGCTTGGGAGGAACCCCGTACCAGAGTGCCGGAACACATGCCCCTTACAACCCCCTCTACCACTGCTACTATTATCATTATGAAAACTACCTCTACCACAACTATTGAGTACTCGCACAACAACAACTACTACTGCTGCTACTACTACCACCACTTCTACCACTACCAAAACCACTACCAATGCCACTATTACTCACCACTGCCGCTTCTACCACTGTGCTGCTGCTTCTACTGCTTGCGCCGGTGCCACGACCTCCACCGCCCACCGCGCTTACTACTGCTACCGCCAATGCTCCTACTGCTTCTAGTGTAGCTTCCTGCTACTCCTGCTACTCCTCCAACGACTACTACTCCAACTACGACCCCTCCTCCCACTAGTACTACCACCACCGCACGATGACGGCTACTGCTGCTGCTGCTGCTACTACTACTACGACGGTCATGTTGCGCGATAAGAATCCACTTGTACGGCCAAGAGTCTTGCGTATTTAATGTCACCGCGGAGTAAACCAAGAATTGTGTGGGTTTCCGGGGCGAAGCGAGAAGGGTAGAGACCTTTCGACTGCTCACTTGAGCAGCGTTTTTTTTTTTAATGCAGGAGCCAAAAGGAGAGGGGAACTGGCATGGTAGCCGCGTAGCCTACTCCTGGGACCGCGTAGCCTCGCGTAGCCTCCGCGTAGCCACTAGCAAAGGGAGCTGTCGACAATCGTCCGCGTAGCCTCCGCCTAGATCCTTTGTCTTGAGCTCAAGGCTTAGGTTGAAAGCTTGCGTGTCTTAGAGAAAGAGGGTGAATTTGATTTGCCTTGGCCCGGCCAGAGCTGAGTTCGCTCATTCCGCGTAGCCTCAGCGTAGCCTGCGCGTAGCCTCCGCGTAGCCTCCAAGGCGTGTTCAAGGCCACTGGCCCACATGCCTCCTACTACTACTGTTACCATTACTACTACTACTGCTACTACTACTACTACTGCTACTACTACTACCACTACCACTACCACTACCACTACCACTACTACTGCTGCTACCACTACCACTACTACTACTACTACTACTACTACTGCTACTACTACCACTGCTCCTGCTACTAATACTTCTACTACTATTACTACTAGTGCTAGTACTAGTACTAGTACTAGTACTAGTAGTAGTAGTAGTAGTACTAGTACTAGTTCTAGTACTACTACTTACTACTACTACTACTACTACTACTACTACTACTACTACTACTACTACTACTACTACTTCTGCTACTACGAACTTCTGGTTGCCAACGGGTATTCGCGTAGCCCCGGCGTAGCCCCCCGCGTAGCCACTTATTAACAAATATGTTCCGCGTAGCCTCCGCGTAGCCAAATTCCTAGGGGGAAAGACAGCCGCGTAGCCTCCGCGTAGGTATGTGCTTCCAGTGTATAGGCCCCACACCATTAAAAAAAACACGGCTCACTTGGAGCAGTCAAAGAGAGGTCTGAGCCCAGTCTGAGGAAGCATGGGAAAAGATCCTCCATCCAGCCCTTACTCTTCCAAATTGGATGTGGCGCCATTGCCGTGGTTCTTGGCAGCCAACTTGCAAGGAAGAAAGCAAATCGCGCCCGAATCGCATCCGCAGACTCAACCCAACCCAAATCCGACCGTGGCCGAGAACCTTCTTGCTTCAGACCAGCCTCTTTCTTGGCCTCTACGCTGCGCTTTTGTGCAAAAGGCGCCCTTCCTATGGAACATCGCGTTGCGTATTTGGATTTCGAGACTCCGAGCGAGACTCTGCAAAGACACTCGGCGTTCAGCTGAGAGTCTCCTTTCTTGATTTCTTAGCACATTGAACGGCCGTAGTACTACTACCACTACTACGGCCTCTACGACGACGACCGCTCCCTATAGTACTCCCTATTGCTCCTTCTACTCTCTACTCCTACTCCTCTTTGCTACTACTCATTGCAACCACCGAAACAACAGCTGCTACTATTATTACTACTACTACTACTACTACTACTACTACTACTACTACTACTACTACTTACTAGTACGACTGCTACCACTACTACGACTACGACTACTACTACTACCACTACAACTACCCCTAGTACTACCGCCACTTTCGCTTCTTCTGCTGCTGCCGCTGCTACCGCTGCTACTGCTGCTAACGCTACTACCGCGACTACCGCTACTATCGCTACTATCGCTACTACCGCTGCCGCTACTACTGGTACCACGACTACTACCGCTACTTGCACGCACGCGCAAGCAAATACGAACAAATAACATGGCAAAACATGTCCACACCGAAGCCAACTGTCCGTGAATGTTGTTACTCATCATCTAGTCGCAGAAAATCCAAGTGGCCACGGTCTGACTCAGCCAAGAAAGAGCAGCCAGGTTCCGTCAAACACAAGCTGGGTTGCTGCGTGGCTTACTGCGATTTCCGTGTAAACGGGTTGATTGAAGAGAAATGTAGTGAAGGTTGCCTCAACCTTTGTCTATGCCGAGGTCTGAACTGGGGCATTGGTCCTGTGCCAGCTGACCACACCAAGACTCACGACCCATACAAGCGTCGTGCCGTGGCTGCAGACACGGTGTTCTTTTTGGTGGTGACCGAGTCTCTCGCAAATGCGCCTGATGGACAGTGAGTTGCGTGAAACGTTAGCTCCCTGGCACGAGCCAGGTTGAGCATTGATCCATTTTTCTGATACTAGACGGACCAACTGGTGGTGCAAGCCATGTCGTCCTCGTCGCAGAGCGAAAGCTGTCGTTTGCTGCTATGCGGTTGAAATCCCACGGCCGGCGTGCTTGCCTGCCCCTTGAGTGTTGTAGGCTTGCTGCTTCTGGCGTGCTGTTTCAGGCTGCTTCAGTTCAAGGGAATCCTTCAGAAGCGGGCTGATTGCTCTTGATTGCGGTATCCTTTTGGGACGCCCAAAATGCTTAGCTTCCTTTTGATACTAGAGCTAGCATTGCAAGCAAGGCCTTAGGGCGAACAACCGCACACTTGTGCTTAGTGCTTGTGGTGGGGGGGGCCGTGATGAAGCTGGATATGGACTGCATCCCAGAAGTCCCTGCTAGCATCTATGGCATTGGCTTGCTTGGCGGCAGTTCGCCACTCCTCGTTCCATGCGAGTGTCCGACACATCTGGAAGCAGCATGGGTCCAACCTTCGGCTCATGTAATCGAGGACTGGCAAGCGATCCAAGGTAACTACAATTGGGCTGTCGACCACAACGCGCAATGGCGAGTGGCTGCAGCTTTCAACCAGCGTGGAAAGTGGAGGAATCCTGACTATGCACCTCTTCTGCAGTGCTCGCGAAGTGCTCGAGCTCTGCGAAAAGAACGCCCATCTAATCTCAGCCAATTATCTGCCCCTCGCGCCCCCCCCCCCCCCCGCACCCCCAACTTCAATGTTGTTAAGGAATGCTGTGATGTCTGAAGCCAGAATGCGTTTTTTTTTTTTTCCGCAGGCTTTGTTAGTACGGGCCACATCCAACTTTGAAGTTGGGGGGTAAGGGGGTTAGCATTTGTTGTCACAATGGATTTGGGGGGATGGGCGATTTTTCGCAGAACCCAGTATGTTCTATCACTGAGTATTGCAGGAAGCGGGGGTGTTCCCGTAGTTGACGTCCCATCACTTGCACTTGGTTTAGGGAATACACGCCAATCTGCGAGGTTCCGTGTTTACTGGCAGGACACTTTGGTTTCCAGTGTTTTTTGCTGGTCCATTGGTTGACACCATGGTCACAACCTCTTATGCAAGAGACCCTGCCAGAATGGAAGGATCACACTCCAAACAGACCATTCCGACACACGCTGCGCATGTGACAGAACCTGCCGGGCTGTCCTTTCAGGGCGTTTTGCATTTTCTGAGTCCATGTGGATTTGTGTCACTCAGGCACTATTTGAGAACTTGCTTTTAAACAAGGAGCCAGCATGAAAGAAAGCATTTGGAGTGAGGTCAATCTCCGATTTGAATTGTGGCTCCGGTTCAAGTCATGCACTTAGATCATCAACGTCGGGGACAACTTCTACTGGGGCGGCGTCGATTGCCACTGCGGCAACATGCAGTGGCGTTGCAAGACCAACCAGTGGAAGACGATCTACGAGGATATGTGGAAGGCCGGCGCCGGTGCGCCATCCAACCTTGGCAAGTGGGCATTGAATCGAATATTGGTTCCGGGAAGGCAATGAATATCGGTTTCGTGATAGGTGATAGGGTTTATTTTAAAATAGGCCCCCCCAACAATAAGCGAAACGAAAGAAGATGGTGGTGGTCCTTTAGAGATGCTTTTTAAGCGAACCTACAAAAGGTTCTCTCAAAGAAAGACACACCCGATTGTGTGTCGGGACGCATGATGATATTATGTGGGGGCTTGAAACAAATTTGGGCGGGCAGCGTTTCAAGGCATACCTCTGGAGACTCCAATGGGAGTCTCAGCCTCTGCGAAGATGATCTCGTAAAAACGGCAGCAGTGAAAACGGGCGGGAGACGAATTGGAGGATGTCAAGCAATAGCTCCTGTACTGGATCCAGTGCGAAGAATGCAACAATCGTTTTGTACATATCCGATATGTCAAGAATCCCCTGACAAGTTGGAAACTTATTCTTCTTGTCTCGAGCCGCTTTTCGATGCTTAGGCTGCAACATGTTGGCAGGAGTCTTTGCGGGGTTGTGGACGAAATGCTTCAGAGCGTTGGAGACCATGCGCATCCATATGGGTGCATCAGGGTGCCATGTCTACCTCTGAGCAAGAGGGAAAGTCTTACGCCCGGGAAAGGGATAGAGTGCTACACTCGCGTCAAAGGGCAAAGACCTCGGCACCAGGCCGACCCAGCTCAGATCAAGTGGAGTGGCTTCCAAGCGGGACTGCTTTGCTCATGGCCATCGGATGTTTTCCAGCAGAGACTAGCTGTTGTGGATAAGCAAGTTCAGGCTTTCTGAAATGCGCTCTGGTATTTCCTGCCTGGCCAGCGTTTGCAGGTGTCACCATGCCGCATCCATGCCGCGCGAGCATGCCGCCCAGATGTTTGCAACCAAAAGTAGATATCACGTACTTATCGGTCAGACTCATTTCTGTGCGGAGGCCAGGTTTCCAGACTTGCCCTGTCAAAACATGGCGTTGAGCTCACAATGGCCAGGTTTCCAGCCTAAAAGTCTTGAATAGAATTCCAAGGTGGCAGTTGGAGAGTTGATGCCAGGCAGTAAGAGCCTGACTGAAGGGTTCCAAGAACTGCCGCGCCTTGTCGGCCTTGTCCTGCCGCGTCAGGGGCCAGGGATCGACGGCAAGATGTGGCTGGGTACCTTGGGCAACCATGACTGGGGCGGCTGGCAGTTCAACAAGGGCTGGGCATCTTGGAAAAGAACGTGCTCGGAAAAGCGGTGGCCAGAAAGGGGATGGCCGGAGTGCTTCTCCAAGCGTCCCCTTTATTGGACTTCTGCAAAAGACCGGGGTTTCCTAGGCCTCAAGTTGTCAACTTCAATTTGAGTGTGTGTGTGTGTGAGGAGGCTGGAGACATGTTCCGTCCCTTGTTTCCACGCGGGCTCCCAATTACATGCAACATTACATATATATATATATATAGATGTGTATACAGACATGCACAGACTTATACATCTACAAACATGTGTGATATGTATACATGCAGAACAGTGCAGAACCTCCAGTGGCCACTAGTGAGCGCAAGGTTCAAAGCTGTACATCTCAGAAGCGCAAGAGACACACATGTTCAAGCTGTGAAGCACTCGGAACTTGTTTGGAGCAGGAAGTCAAGAGTCCAATGATGTGAATTAGCAATAAGTAATACATATTTTGTATATACACATATAAGATATGCTCTTCCATACTTGTTTCTCGGTGGTTCCCAGCCATCCGGTTCCTTAGCTTTTTTGCTGGCTTCGTGGTTGGGTTTCCGAATTTAACCCACCAAAGGTTAGTCAGTCAATGTTGGCACACATTCTCCAAACACGCCCAGGTTTCGTGTCTTTTTCCAGGTTTTTCCCCATTTTCCGGGGGGTCACTGGTTTTTTCAGGTGACCCCAAGAAGTGGTGGTTCCGGTGACGCCACGGCTTCCCGGCGTCGCTTGCGGCGTTCCGAGGACCAGATGATCGCTTACAGCTGGGGGGGCCTCCCGGAGTCCACGGGCCGCTGGCTGCAGCCGGCCATCTTTTGGGCCGCGCCGGTGAGCCCCGCGGCTTTTGGTCGACTCGCACGCACGCAGGCTCAGTGGCGTAGTCTCCATGTGCTCAAGAGGTATGGGGCAATCAATGGGACCGGGTTCCGATTTCTTCCATTGGGTTGGTGGGTTGGTGGGTTGGTGGGTTGGTGGGTTGGTGGGTTGGTGGGTTGGTGGGTTGGTGGGTTGGTGGGTTGGTGGGTTGGTGGGTTGGTCTTGAAGGGAATCGATTTCACTACTGGACACAATGGCTCCCTGTTTTTCCAGGGAGCGAGAAAGCAAAACGGGGGCTCGCGACTGACTCGAGCCGCCGGCGTGTATGTTTTTTGTTTGGCCCCCCGACGACGGAGCCGAGGGTTTGGGCTAGGCGTCAAAGAAAGAACCTTTCACGGACCAACAACCATGAAAAGAAGGGGGGGTTAATATAACATGAGTTTCATCATCTAACTTGGGTCCTTGGTATTGGGTTGTCCATGCCCGGCTCACGGTTTGCTTTTTGTCTGGTTTGCAACTTGGTGTTTGCAACCGCTGGTTTTCGTCTTCCATGGCGAAGGCTTCTGGGCATTGTTTGCATGGGGGTTTGCACCCACCAGCCATTTTAAGGGCCATCCATTACAATTCGTGCCATGTGGCTGTGTCTTCAAACAACGGAACCTGCAATGGGTTTTCATCTGGTTGACCGAAGGCTGCGATGTACTCACACACCATGAGCTGGCACTTGTCCCGCCATGCCTGCCGGAAATGGATCTCTGGAATGTGCGAACAGCCCTAGCCATTCGCATCCTTCGCAGAATTTGGATTCGTTGGAAACGATGGATTGGAAAGGGGCACTCACCTTGAGAACGGTTTGTACTTTGCTCCGTTGCTTAGAGCTGGCACGTGTCATGGTCCCAACAAAGTTGATATTCATAATATGGGCAGTCGCTGATCCCAGAGCTTGTCCGAATTAGTTGGTGAGTGGTTTATACGGATGGTGTGTCATGCCATGGGTGTTGCTCAGCAATCCTCCCTAAATTGCTTGATTTCGCGAGAGTTCTTGCAACGCAGCAACCCCCGCACAATGCCTGACTGTTGTTGCTGCACACAGCTCAGAAGTAATTACAAGCGGACACATGTGCGCACAAGCACGATCAAACAAGAAGTGAGCAAGGATGCAAACCATTCAAAAATCATAAAAGGCCCAGTCAAACAGCTCTGAGCACTTAGAGCGGCGCAGAGCATGCGGCACAACGCACACTGCACACACACAGACACACACACACAGACACACACACACAGACACACACAGACACACACACAGACACACACAGACACACACAGACACACACAGACACACACAGACACACACAGACACACACAGACACACACAGACACACACAGACACACACAGACACACACAGACACACACAGACACACACAGACACACACAGACACACACAGACACACACACACACAGACACACACAGACACACACAGACACACACAGACACACAGACACACAGACACACAGACACACAGACACACACAGACACACACACACACAGAAACACACAGACACACACACACAGAAACACACACACACAGACACACACAGACACACACAGACACACACAGACACACACAGACACACACAGACACACAGACACACATTCACACCGTTGGGTGCGGCACGCAGCGTAGCAAACTGGCCGGTTGGTTTCCTCTGACGGACCAAGACGTACAGCTGACAACACTGTTGAAAGGTTATCGGGTGCGTGTGCAGGCAGTCTCCAGCCAGCAGTTTCAGTGTGCTTTGCAGGCAACAAAAGCGTCTTTGCTTTGTTTGCCTTGACACTGCAGCATGATGCGCATGCGTGACATAATACACATGTCAGAATGCATGCACACCACCGTATGATACGCACTCCTGCAGCGACTCACACATTTTCACCCTCACACACACAGGTAGACACACAAACACTCACACACAAACAAACAAACAAACAAACCAAAAAGAGACACACACACACACTGCACACACACACACACCACTCACGCACAGACACGCAGAACACAATGCACGCGCAGAGCCCTTTTGTAATAAGCTCACCGCGATTAAGAAAAGAAAGCAACAAGAACACAAACTGTTTTCTCACAAGGCGCCTCGCCCAAACGGCCCCTGGAAGTTTACCCGTCAGGATGTAGATGTACGCGAAATCACCTATGCTGAGGCAAGTCCCGATGCGGAGTAATTATGCAGTTGTTTGGCATCCACGCAGGATAACTTAAGATATTGAGAGGTTGTGTGTGTATGTGTCTCTGACCGGTTGCCGTATGTAGATGTTCCATGTCTGAGATTACCCTGGCTTCAACGTGGACTGGTTCTTTGTGGACACGAACATCCACGATGTCAGGCCTGCGAGCTGTGCTCCCTGAATGGCAGCTCCTCTACCAACAAACAATGGTTTTCCATAGTTTCAACGTGGTGCAGGATTTCGTCCATCCGCAGTGTGCAACCGTCAAATGTGATACAAGCTGCCCGGCCAACATGATGGGTTCTGCCGCGCTTGAGCTAGACAGCAGTGCAACTGTTCACTTGTTGACCTGCAAACGGAAGCTTTCAGAGTCGCAATGCATCTCCGAGTTGCAGTGTGTGTTGATGGCTTCGGCATGTAAATTCACGCATGCACACAAAGTCAGGCCCTGAAGGTTTCATCCTGTTTAAAGATCTTTGCATTCTGGAACACGGAGATGCAACAGTGAATCAACGGTATAGCGCATAAACAAAAACTGGGCTGAAGCCATGCAATTCCGGAGTCATATATGAAAGGATCTCCGCAAAGCAACAGCAAACAAACTTCGAGTCTTGTTTCGGCAACAGGCAGCATGCAAAGGAGTGGGGGAAGGGCAGGAACATTGGGCAGGCAGTCTTGCGCTTACCAGATACTGGCCTGATTCGAGCGTTCTGTCACGGTCCACATGTTTGGATCGCGTTAGCCCATCTTCCGGACTTTTCGCAGCTCCTGTTTACAACAAGAAGCTGGGCCTGTTACACACTGTCCCAGTTTTGACTCAGTACCTGAATGCTCTGCCTGACAAACTCATCTTTAGCAAGTGTGTTTGGGCACGTTTTGGCTGCAACACGAACCTTAAACAATGAGGTGCCACGCGGCCGTACGATAACTCATGAGTTGCATAAGTTGGGGATGTTTCGTGGATGACACCCGAACCCTGCAAAGCACCTGCAAAGACGCAGCGCTTTTCAGTGAGGCCCGACCCCCCCCAGTTGATCCAACTGCCTCGACGCCCGGCCAACCTCACCAACCGGCCAGGGAAAGCCCTTGGTGGGACCCGGAGCACAACATCTGCTCCGCGAAGCACAGCGGAACAGATGGCGGTGCCCTGTCAGGGGGGAAATGGCCCAAATCTGTATGAGATCCATTGCCATACTTGAGCGCCACGAGTCCACTCTAGTCGTGATGTTACTTCGGAATGCAAAACCTGCCATGTCCGGTTTGCTTTGAGAGGCTTTTGATGGACAAGCCGCAATGGATACACGTTGCAACTTGTCCTAATAATAGACAGCTCATGACTCCATTCGGGGACCTTGGCCTTCGACAAACACTGGATTTGTGCATCTGAGCCTGAAAAGCAAGTATGTCTGCCATGTGCCATGTAGCACGCATGCACAGCCGTATGATGCGTTGTTATCCTATACATTATATTTTGATTATCCCTTGGAGTGCGACTGCTGTGGACGGGCAAACTCCTGTGCCACTTTGAAACCAAGGGACACCATCATTTGTTGATATGTTCAAGGGATCCTGCAGGATTAGTCTAGCTGGTTGATATGTGTGACGCCCGAGGTGCTGGCTGCGGCCACTCGGGGCCCTACAACGTTTTCGACTGCGCCAAATGGTTTGGCCACCTTTGGGACCACCAGCAAGGCCGGCAGCGCTTTTGCGGGTAGGGCCGGCCTTGAGGCGCACGTCAAGTCCTCCACACATCAACAAACAAGAATTACAGGCGTGGAGGGAAGGGTTCGCATTTCGTGACTGACAACCCCATGAAGGTTTGCCAGTAGTTCGATTGGTTGGGTTGGCTTGGGTTGAGTTGGGTTGGATGGTTTGTTTTGGTCTGGTCTGGTTTGGTTTGGTTTGGTCTTGTTTGTCTGGTTTGGTAAGTTGACCGGATGGGCAAAAGAAGGGGCAAGGACAACATTTCTTACATCCCCGGGCTCGGCTGCTCCCCAATTTGTCGGCGGAAGGGTGGTGTTAGGCCGGTCTAATGCGGCTTGGTGCTGGGCTGGCTAGCATTGCTTAAGGTTCCACACGTGTATTTCGAATGGTGGTTTGTCTGCGGAGCAGCCTTCAGCCTGCAAAATGAATGTGGGCGCGGGGCGGCCCAAAAGGGGACAAGTCCTGTTCAATTGTATGAATTCATCTCTTTCCATGCAGAGACGTGCTGGTCATCCGTCGGAGCGTTCACTCAGTTTGCGGGGAGAGCATTGCACGACACGAGATGGTTTCGTCAGTTTGCCTTCCAGGTCTTGAAAGAGCGCTCCTCCAATGACCCCTTGGACCATGTGTTTTGGCGTTGCGATGGAAAGTATGGGTCTACCGGAGGTCTCTCATGCACACCAACCATTCTGGTAGAATTGAAGGTAGGAAGCATTTGATATGCCAGCGTCTGGTGATCTCCCGTTTGGCCTTCCCTTCAAACCCCACGAGCGGCTGAACGGCTAGCCCCCGAAACAGCCCCAAACAAATGCGGGTCATGTCTGTCCACCTCCGGCAAATCCTCCTGCAAAAACAGCTTGAAGGCGAAACCAGCCTTGTCTCACTTCAGACCCCACAAACAACTTGTTTCCCCTCTAAGGCGTGAGCGGGGACGGGTCTTTAAGTCCTTTTGTCGTGCTGTTTCTCGGCAATCTTCAAGCTAAGGCAACCCCCCTAGGGTTCGAACCGTCAACGCAACGGGGGTTGATATTTCACCATTATTTGCCGTGGATGTCTCATCATCTAGATTGGGTTTTCTTGGGTATTTTCTTCTCGTGGAAATCGGCTGGACCCTACGGAGACCTACGTGAGACCTAGCATTTGGTCCATGTGGGGGCTGATCAATATTCCTGGCCCCCCCCCAAAAAAACCGACCATGGGGCACTTTTCCCATTGGGTGGTTTGATTTATCAAATCTTTTTGGCGGTTTCCCGAATGGCCATCCCATGTTTGATGGACCTTTTGATGAACGCTCGGAGGGTTTTCGGCCGTTCCCTGTCAGCTTGGCTGGACACGAAGCTGAAGGAGTCCGTGGCAAACCAAGTGGACTGGCAGTTCGTGGTGACCCACTTCCCTCCCTGGTGGGGGGAGGCGGTAGCTGAGCTAGGGCTGGGAGCTCGGGAGCTAGGGCTGGGGGCTGGGGAGCTGGGGGGCTGGGGGCTTGGGGTGGGGGCTGGGGGCTTGGGGTGGAGAGAAGTGGCCGAAAAGTGGGAAGCCATGTGCCAAGAGTTCCTTTGAGAGGGCCCCTCTTGCAGGATCCCGGTGATTTTGAGGGTGTGCGCGCGTCGGACTGGTGGCGTCCGATTGGGTGGTGTTTTGGGTGGTGTTTTGGTGGTGTGCGGTGTGCCCCAGTAGTATCCCTGTGGTGTTTTCAGCGGTGTCCTGGTGTCTCGATGTCTCAATTTTAAGGCAAGGGACCTAGGTCACAGGGGCCTTGTTGAGCCCCTCCAACACATCTGACGAAATACTTGTCTTACACATTTGTTTATTACTTTCCAGGACATTCAGAAACATTCGGTAAGAGTCAATCACATTCAAGTAATGACTGGACCTGTCAAGCAAAGGGCTATCTCATCCGTTGCCTGAAGAATCCCTGTCCCTGTCAGCAAAGTGCAAATGCTACGCATGTCCAGCAAAATCATTGCGCGTGTACCTTCTGGTTCCACAAAAAATGCAAACCGTTCAACAACATGTAGACACGTTCAAGCAACTACACCATCATTGAACAGCATTCTACGAGGTACAACACATTGCACAAATGCAAGTACAACATGCCAACGTACAAAAAATCAGAAGAGAAAAAACAACACATCCCAGCAATGCAAAAACATTCCAGGCAGCGCAAGCACAGTTCAAAAGATGCAAACCATTTCCAAACAATACGAAAGCATTCAAACAGTACAAACACGCAGCGGCGGCTGCCCCAAGACTTCTGGGATGCAGTGCAAGCTCCATTCAATTGGTCTCTTGAGCGGGTGGGTTTTTCAGGGGGTCCCTTGAGCAATGCTATTCACTGCCCTGACATTGACCCCCGCTTCGGTGTCCCAGTGGCGTGGTGGCTTTCTTCAGTGTCTTCGTGTCCTCGGGGTATGTCTCGGTGTGTTGCCCCGGTGTTCCGTAAGGTGCCAGCTTGAAGCTCAAATTTTGGGTGGAGCCTGGTGTATCGCCTTGGGTAAGTTTGGCAAGACGAAGCCATCTTGTCTACATTGTTTACGTCTGGCAAGTTTGGACTTGCCGCCTCCTGCGAGCCCTGCCCTTTGCTGGATCCTCTCTCCAGCCAATATGCAATACTTATTTCGAGAGCGGCCTGGTCTTATCGCTATTGGGGTCAATCGCTGGGTTAAGTTTCTGGCTAGCTGTTGGGTCGGTTTTGGGAAAAGCCACCCTCAGGACTATGAAGAGAACTAGTATTGGTAGAAGTAATTATTGGCAATAGCTTTTGGAATTTGTTTGTTGTCCATGTTTTTCTTTTGAAAAGGGACTTGGAGGGTGCCAAAAATGGATTAGTTGTTCTTGTTGGCCACACCATGTGATCCCCTTTGACCTAGTATTGGCTGGCGATCCGGGCGGGAAGAGGACAGTCTTTGTGAATGGTAGTTTATTCATCAAGGGTCAACATGAGTGTGCTCTAAGTCAAAGGGCTTGGTTACAGGAAACTCTACAGGAAATGGCCCCAGAACGCCCTAACTAAGCTGTTTTCCTGTACAATTTCCTGTAACCCAACCCTTTGACTAAGACAAGGAGCACACGCACATCCTTTTTGATGTGTTCGGGGATGCAGTTCCTGCACCTCCCGGAAAACGCGAGAGGTGTGTTAGTTGGGGTTTAGCATCACCTGGTTTGGCTTTTTGGCATCTTCGGCTCTTTGGCTTTGTGGCTTTGTGTTTTGTGGCTCTTTGGCTTTGCGGCTTGGTGTTTTTCTTCGCTTTTTGGCTTTTCGGTGTTTTTCCTCTTTTTTTTTGTGTTTTTTGGCTACTTGGCTCCTGGGTTACCCTGTCGTTTTGGCCTCTGGGTTTGTTGCGCAGGCCCATTGGAAGTGGATGGCCTGGCAGTACGGCATCGACATGTTCGTCACCGGGCATGTGCATCGACAGGACTGCTTGGAGCAGCGGCTCAGTTCAGTGGCACCACTTCTGTCTCCTTTTTGTGGGTGGCCCCACCAAGAATGGTCCAAGCCCCAAAAGGGGTTCCCCTTTTTTTTCTTGGGGTCAATGAACAACTGAGGTGGGACTGGAAGAATCAGTTCAAGCCAACAGCGCCACGGCAAGGAGAGGATTATTTGGCTGTGGGTCAAAAATAGGGTAACTCCCAAATGGAACCCTGGTAAATGGAAAGAAGGACCAAAACCTGCGGTCCCCTGGTGGTTTGATTTTGACCCATACCCATTTGAATTCGTGTCTCCCCGGATTGGACACATGCTTTAGGGGTGTATAGGGTGCTACTGTGTCAAAGATGTGAGACAGGGAGCCTCAGACCTTGGAATGTGTGCGCTTCGGGCAATATTCCTATCTCATGTATGTGTGTGTATGATTAAGTATACACATGCAGATGAGCGACCAACCGATGAACTGACAGTTGATTGATACGCTCGGAATACCATCAAAAGTAGATATTTTGCAGTGAAACGAGACGGTCTCCCCAAAATTAGCAAGATCAAAGCGAGATGGTTTCGTAGAACACCATGCAAAAAGAGATGAAACGAGCTTGAATCATAGTGACGGAGCTGACCTTGATACTCACTCACTCACTCACTCACTCAATCACTCACTCACTCACTCCCTCACTCACTCACTCAATCACTCACTCACTCTCACTCTCTCACTCTCTCACTCTCTCACTCTCTCACTCTCTCACTCGACTCCACTCCGCTCCACTCTACTCCAGTCCACTCCACTCCACTCCGCTCCGTTCCGCTCCACTCCACTCCACTCCACTTCACTCCACTCACTCACTCCACGCACTCACTTGCGACAAGGCGCGCGCAAAGAAGGTTATCGCGGCAGCCAACGCAGACACCACGAGCGCGGTCACGTCTTCTTCCACGGCAACCACTGCAGGTCCTAGCACAAGCGTTCGCAATTTTGTTACTCTGGATGTTCAAAACCCTGTTCCGAGTGTTGTCATTCATGACATGTCTGAGGGGCATGTTGCAGTTGGATACAACAGCTTTGTGCAGTCACATGTGTTGATGGTCACTTGCTCGAATGGATATTTTGAGGAATGCGAAACTTGGTTCGTGGCACGAGCAGTCCGAGATTTCATGTGCGCGCAGCAACTCTCACAGCAGCGAGCAAACACACACCGGAGTTCCGCATTTCCGCATGAGTGCCGCTGACTCAGAGGGCATTTCTCTTTCCTTGGCAGCAGATGTTGATGGATGTATTTTCCTTGAGGGCCCATTTGCATTTGCAGCATGGCGATATGGGCATTTGTGAGGACATGGAGTTGCAAGCGTAGCGTGGTGATCTGCATATGTATTTGCGTGGCGTTTCCAGTGCTTTGCGAAATGATTGCGTGGACATTCAGGTTTGCAGCGATGAATCAACATCTGTCAGTGACTCTGGAAGAATTTGTGTGGCCGAGTATGGCAGAACCTGGGTGCAGATTGAATCAACTGAGCATCATCTTCAGCAAGATATTCCATTTCCAGAGATTTGTGCTTCTCGTTGCGCATGTTCTGGTTCAAGATGGACAAGGATTTGGAGTCCCGCATCCTCGTCACCCAGGCCCTCAGGTTGATCCAGCTGATGGCTGTCACGAGCGAGGACCAGAAGGCCATATTCGACATGCGCCAGCTTGACGACTGCTTGTTAACGCATTGTTTTGTTTGTCACACACGCAGTCGATGAATCAATCATGAGTAGTTTGAGAGAGTGTGTGCGTGTTAGGACCGAAAGAGTCTTCGATGACGATTTGTTGTTTCTGATGTAAAACTCTGTTGCAACTCAATCTGGTCTGCGTCTGCAGGACTGCACCAATGATCCTGGTCAACTTGTTCGCGATGGGCTTGAAGAACAGCGACACGTACGCGAGCATGCTCTTGACCACGGTGAGGAAGGCGGGCATGACCAACTCCGAGTTGATGGCGTTGGTGGACTTGGTGGTGATCAGGAAGAGCTACACGAGGGTGACCGCGTAAATCAGACGAAGGACGAGAAGCTGGTGAACTTGGGGCGCAAGGTCCAGAAGAAGTTCAGGCAGTACACGAGCACCGGGAGCGAGGAGTTGTTCCCCATGGTCACGGCGCCATGCAAACCCATCACAGTTTCAATGAGAAGTTCATTCCGCAACTGCTTGGGAACAATGAATTTTCAGAGCTTTTCCAGGCAGTGATGAAGTCGAGAATGAGGAGCGGATGCAAGCAACCACCTCCATGGATATGTGGAGTCTGAGATGAGACGGATCCAAAGGAAACTGGGAATGGTATGAGAGTCGCTGGAGATTTCTATGGCTGAAGCCATGCTGGAGCAGCATTTTTTACAGAAGCGAGAGTGCTAGTTTCACTCAGACATGCGGAGTCGCGCCTGTGCAGCACTTTTTTGCGAAGGGCGAGCGATACGCCTTTTTACCTTCGCATTGCACAGGTGTTGTACTCGATGTGTAGCGTTTGTTGAATCTTGAATAGCTTGATGTAGGCTTGACGATGTGTGCTTCGGCCGCTTTTCGTTCGCACTCGCTCACACGCTCGCTCGCTGACTCACTCACTCACCCACTCACCCACCCACCCACTCACTCACTCACACACACACTCACTCGCTCGCTCACTCGCTCACTCACTCACTCACTCACTCATTCACACACACACTCACACTCACTGACTCACTCACTCACTCACTCACTCACTCACTCACTCACTCACCCACCCACTCACTCACTCACTCACTCACTCACTCACTCACGCACTCACTCACTCACTCACTCACGTACTCACTCACGTACTCACTCACTCACTCGCTCGCTCACTCAGTCACACTCACTCATTCACTCACTCACTCACTCACTCACTCACCCACCCACTCACTCACTCACACACTCACTCACTCACTCACCCACTCACTCACTCACTCACCCACTCACTCACTCACTCGCACTCAAAACTCCCTCACTCTCACTCTCACTCTCACTCTCACTCCCGCTCAACCTCAGCTCACCTCAGCTCACCTCACCTCACCTCACCTCACCTCACCTCACCTCACCTCACCTCACTCTCTCACTCTCTCACTTACTCACTCACACTCTACTTGCTCACTCACTCACTGACTGACTCACGGATTCACTGCCTCACTGACTGATTGACTCACTGACTCTCTGTCTCTCTCTATCGCTCTCTATCGCTCTCTATCTCTCCTCTCTCTTTCTTTCTCTCTCTCTCTTTTTTGTTCTCTCTCTCTCGCTCTCTTTCCCTCTCTCTCTTCCTCACCCACTCACGCGCTCACCCACTCACTCACTCACGCACGCGCATGCACGCAAGCACGCACTCACACTCGTTCGCTTGCTTCCTTGCTTGCTTGGTCGCTCGCTCTCTGAAAGGGTGCGTCGCCCCGCAGCAAGTGTAATTCGACCCCCGCTCTTTGTGCGCAGAGGGTTCACCAGTGCGCTCTCAAAATGCACACGCCCGAAGCGCGCAGAGGGTTCACTTTGCGCTTTCAAAACGCTCTGCGCCACAGCGAGAGAGATTCGACCCACAAAAAGAGGGTTGACTTTAAGTTGTCAAAACGCGCGCCACGCCGCAGCGAGAGCGATTCGACCTACTTACCCAAAGTGTGGAGCCTGCCACGAAATTTGCACAGACAGCGCTGCGCCTGTCACGAAATCTACACGCAAAGCTCCAAAGCTGCCACGAGTAAACCCAAAGGGTTAAAGCGCTGCGCCTGTCACTCAAAGTAAGCTTGCCAGAACCTGAAATTCTTCCAAATTGCAGCACCTGTCACGAAATCCAACTTTTGACACGTTCGCGGCACGCATCAAGAGTTAGCACGGGGCCGTGGCGTCAGAGTGATGTCAACCGACAAAACGACCAACCCTGAAACGTGAATCACAATGGCACGGCAATGCAAACACACGACTTCCCAAAACGCTGCGCATGCGCAACGAGACTACATGCAATGCTGCAGAAGACACGACCCACAGATGGGCGCAAGGAATGCAGCGCTCCAAGATGCATTAAAAAGTCGCGTTTCGCAGCAATCCCACCGGCACGGCACTTTTCTCACATGCGAACGAACGTTTTTGACGCTTGTGGCCGCTTGCGGCCACACGCGAGCCGACCAGCGCAACCTCAACTTACCTCCAGACCCCACTTCATAACGGGAACCCTTCACAACGCATTCGGGAATCAAAGCAAAACAACAGCAGCCCACAATGAGTCCTTTCCGAGTAACGAGTCGGATGCCTTCACAATCTGAACCCATGGCCCATTTGAACTGTCCAGTTCTGCATTTTCCTCCTCAGATAGTTGCAAGGAACGGTGGGAGAGAACAACGTAGCCTGCTTGGCATACAGGAATGTTGCAGGGATAGCAGCGCGCTTTTGTCCTACAAGTTTTTTCACACGGATCTCCCAAAAACGGGATGGTTCTCCTCCAATTGTCTACTAATTAATTTGCTGAACGAATCCAAAACGAGATCAAACGAGTTTTGGTATTGGGCCGGACAAGCAATATGGTTGGCTGCTCAATGTGTGGACTCATACTGGCTTGTGTTTGAAACTGAACGTCAGTTATATTGAGGTTGTCATCATCACTGGTGGCGGCGGCGGCATCACCTCGGAGTATTGGCCCGATGAGCACGGCAACGACGACCAGTACGGCACATGGGAAAGAAGGGCCTGAGTGTGCAATGAGTCAATGGGGCCAAACTCGGACCCAGAAAGTCACCACGTGTTGAACTAAGATTGAGTCCATATCAGCTGGGTTCGACTTTCTGGGCTTAAGGAGCATTGCCACGTTTCACTGATCTTAAAGTCACCCGGTTCCAGGGAAGGTGAGAGGGCTCGATAAGAGGTTGGGCAACGCCAGAATTCCAGATGATTTTTTGGTGGCCGATGACCATGAGTGTTGTCCTTTCCCAATTCGCTACTTTAATCCTTTTTGGGGTGGTGGTGGAAGTAAGAATGCAGTTCGATTAGCATTCTGATGAAGAAGAAGATTATGAAGATGAAGTTGAAGATGATGATGATGACGATGATTAGGGCAAGGTCAAACTTGAGCACGCATAAGCACACCTGGACCCCTAGGCAGAGAGGGAAGACGATTGGCGATTCGGGAAATACTAATATAGAAGGCTTCCGAAAGGATGTCAGAAGGAGTCTAGAAGGATTTCACAAGGGCACAAGGATTTTTCAACGAGATTCCAATGAGATTATCCAGTGAAATTCCACCATGATCCCCCATTAGGTTCCATGAAAAATTTGATGAGATTCACCGTGATTGAGTGACATTGCATCAGGTCTGCATGATTCCCAATGAGATGCCATGAATGAAATCTGAGCAGACCATCATCGGCCAGAACTAACTAGCACTGCTATTGCCCTCAAGCATCCAATTGGATAGATGTTTATGCGGATGCTACATCAAGACGTACATGGAATTGGAAGCGGCTGCATGCATGGGATGTGCAATTGGATGGCTGGATGGCCCACAGATACAATGCAACCGTGGAGATCAAGGATAACCAGCGCGACTGCAGGCAGCATTGGCAGTCGGGCTGGACAAGAAGAAGGCTGAGGTGCACTCCAGCCGTAGTGCATTGGAGAAATACGGCCGGAAGGTGCAGGCAGATAGGTTGAAAGTTTAGTAGCGTGCAAAGAGTTTGCATGAGAACAATACGAAGGCAGCATTGCAGGCAAAAGCCGCGCGAGGATAGTAGAGCTCAGGAATAAGAAGTTACAGATGGACGGCCTGCATGAGACAAGCCATGCACAGGACTAAGAGCAAGATAAGTTGGTCTTCAAAATGGACGTTGGGCATGTGAACGGCGTATAGGATGACAAAAGAAGGCATTTGGGGTTTGAGGATATATGAGAGGGGTAAAGTTAGAAAGTTTGGTGGAGTGGGGCAACTAGGCGGCCAGGACTACCCTATATGCTGGGGCTGATGATGAACATGTTGAATTCACGGTGATAGTTGGGATGATACGCACGCCGGCCCACACCAAGTGAGTCTTATTAGGAGGTGGAAGAGAAGGAACAAACGGAGACGGAGAAGGCAAGAGCGCATGAGGAACTAGGAGTGAGAGGAGCGAGTGGAAGGACAAGGAGAAGGAGCAGTACAAGGAGAAGGAGCAGCAGAATGATTGACGAAAGCAGAACAAAAATTGACGTTACCGTGAGATTACGCCAGATTTCTATTGTTGTTGTCCTGCAGAGTGGGCTCATTGTTTGGTACCGGCGCATCCGGACTTCAGCGCTGAGCGCAGCTAATGCTGGCTTGGATTCAATCGAACCGCATCATTTGTGTTCGATGCAAAACCTTACACGTCTCCAATCTGCTAACTTGGAAGGTCAGCTGAGTTCTGCTCCGTCTTTTTCTTTGCGTTTCCGCGGGTTTTTTTGGACAGGTTGTTTTGTTTTCTTTTTTTCCGGCACCGGAAGGGTCGTTCAACTCGCGCCAGGCTTCATTGACGCCACCCTCAAGAAGGACACCGTGAAGGTTGAGGCCGAGGGCATGGGATTGGAGCCGGACTGTCCAAAGGATTTGCGGTTCACGTCCGCATTGGAGGAAATCTAGTTGAAGACTTCCCCCTCCTCTCTATGTTTCTTTCTCTTTCTTCCTTCCTTTCTCCCTTTCATCCTTTCTCCCTTTCATCCTTTCTCCCTTTCATCCTTTCTCTCTTTCGGTCTCTCCTTCTTCTTCATTTACCTTTCTCCCTTTTCTCCTTTTTATCTTCCTTTATTATCTTCGTTTCGCTCTTTTCACTGTTTTGATTCTGTGACCTTTGCTCTGTCTAATACTCTTTCGCTTTATCGCTCTTATGTCATTTCTCTTTCCGCTCTTTCGAGGAGAGCTCGCAACGCGCCACGAGACTTAGCACCGCCTGCATGAGTCATGAGGGGTGTTAGACGGAGGTTTTGCATGACGCAAATCACATACGAGACGCCGATGAGAGGCCCCGTACAAATCAATATCGCCTATTTCTACAGTGTCTCAATTTCGATGTAGGTTTCAGTTTGGTATGCCAGTAGACACTGTGGATGGACGAAACTCTGCACCACGTAAGAAACCCTGGTTTATGATGATTCCCCTGTAAATACCAGGTTTCATTCAAAGTGGCGCAATGGGATTTCGCAACCATCCACAGGAATACACGGAAGGAAGCACGGACACAGATGGTCTCTCGCCAAAAAATGCCCGGCCAGCTGATCTCCCACGGCGGGCAGACACGGAGAAGCCATACCTTCAGCAAGCGGCAGCCGCAGTATAAGGCGGCAAAGTACAACGAGCCCTTCCAGCTGCCACCACAGGAGGCTCGGGGTGGGATCTGTTTGGAGTATTTGTAGCTGATACGCGATATGTGTGAAGTAGCATGGCCTAGTTGGCTTGCTGTAAGTCTGCCTTCTATGGCGGAAAGTGTGCATTTGATAGTTAGTTATACGACGCGCGTAATTGCATCATGACCATAAGAATATGTGTCCAAGCATGATAGATACATATATGTATATATTTATTTATTTAGTTATTTATTTATTTCGTGCGAGTCGAGTTTGCATCTTGAGGTGTGAGGAGGACTTAGCACTCAGCAAGTCCTTGAAGGTGTGCAAACCAACCGCGAGTGGGGGATGCCTCTGTTTTTTTTTCACAGATGGGTCTCCGAGTGGCGTTTGGGGAGACATATGCAAATGGCTCAAAACATGCCAAGGCGCATCGCCATTTGGAGTCGCACAAGACGAAGACAGATGACAAGGATGACAAGGATGACAAGGATGACAAGGATGACAAGGATGCCAAGGATGCCAAGGATGACAAGGATGACAAGGATGACAAGGAAGACAAGGAGGACAAGGGTCGGCTTCTTCTTAATTAGTGACAAGACATCAGTTTCACATGGTCAGGTGGGAAACAAACCCTTCTGAATCTTGATCAAGTTGCTCACCCCGGAAGAGTAAATATTGTGGTAGTTTGCTGCAGCTGAAGTCAGTGGCAACCACGCATGGCAGAGGATGCTCCTCGCAAGCTTGGAAAAGAGAGCGCTGAACTGGCATGCAACCACAAACGTTTGTTTGAGAGGTTTGGACGGATGGCTGGATGGTCGATTGATGAGATTCGTCTTCTGAAAAAGCATATTTGTGGCAGCCCTATCTACATATATATATATATATATATATATATATATGTGGGTATGGGTCAAAATTAAACCACCAGGGGACCACAGGTTTTGGTCCATGCTTCCATTTGCCAGGGTTCCATTTTGGATACCTATTTTTGACCCACAGCCATAGCCTAGACAGATGCCGCTTCACATCGCGAGGGTTGCTTTTATGTGATGGAATCGTCAAAGCACCTGCGATTGGGAGGTTTTCTGCCATGCTCAGTCTTGAAAAGAATTGAGAGGGATGGGGGAACCGATCCCCTCCGAGAGGATCTTAGGGCAATTTTCCGAAAGTCCCCGTTCTTCCTGTAACACCAAGAATACTTTGCCCCCCCCTCCCCCCCCCCAGGTTTTGACACCCCATCAACCCTGGATCTACTACACTCATGGCAGAGCTTCAAAACCGCCGTGCCCTTCCCCGTGTGCCCCCTGTGCTATGCGGCCATGTGACCCTTGGATCGTTTTGAACACCACGGGTGTCCTGTGGCAGGGCATCCCGAGCCACCAGCGAAGCGCCCGCGCCAGGCGTGGAGCGTAAAAACATCCAATGTGTAGGGTTTCGCTTGGAGGTATGTCGAGCTCCCGAAAAATTCCGGGGGGCCTAAGAGGACCACACAGAAAGCCCATGGAAAGGCCGAGATCCTATGCGGTGGTTTTTGGATGTACCTCATACATCCATTGCAAGGGTATGAGCCGTCACACGTTTGGGCAATGAAATGGAGGAATGAGGAGCTCAGGACAGAAGCACTCACTGCACGGGGTCGGCACGCAAACGCTGCAAGACGCACCCCATCAGGACACTTCAGAACAAGCTGCTGCTTTCCTTACTTAAGTCTGTCGGTGGTGTAGTTTCCTTTGTACACTGGATGAGTCAGTCGGTCAGTTGTGATTTTCTGAAGAAGAGGCGATCGGGCCATTCCGCTCTGATCTTTGTTGCGGTCAAACCAATATGCTGCAAGGGGGAGTCAATCACACCTCAGCTCCAAGACACAGGCTCCTGGAGTAAGGACCCCTCGCCCCAGGCGTCCACGGATGACCTCGACGTCTTTGCCTTGCCGGAGCCATGTCTCTTTTGCAATCGGGATGTCGCCGCACCTTTTTGGAGCTCTGATTTCAACTTGCGGTCAACTTGACATTCGCTGAGATCGTACAGATGTTTCTTTTCGAATGTGCGCCTGCGAATGGAATCCACCAGCCCTTGGAGGCACGGCCAGAACATTTTGGCTAGCTGCTTTGTCCCTGGAGAAGAGCAAAACTGGTTAATCAAACAACCTCGCTGCTTCCCGAGGATGGCGAAGCACGCCGTTGTGTGCTGGAATCTCCACTCCCACTGGCTCACTTGTCCAAAGCCGACCCTTTGACATTTTGTGTTTCCCCTTTTGGTCCAATTTTTGTTGGTCCCAAGAGGTTGACCTTTTTGTTGGTCCTTTGGGCAACTGAGCCACAGGTCCTGGTTCAACCACACCTGGTTGCATTCTTGCCGATCCCTCTCTGGACTTCGGAAGCGGACAAAACAAATACGGATCCAGCCATGATATGGCTGTGGGTCAAAACAAATGGTACCATTTTGGGGTAGGTGCACCACCCATTTTAGTCTATTTTAGTTGGATTGGGATGTTCACTGGGGGTACGATTTGGGTTTTGACCCATGGCCATATGACCCACCGAAAAGGTAAAAAGTTGGTTCATGGCTGCAGCGGGCCCACGAGACATCCAGTTTCACTTCGGCCGTCTTCAGCTGAGCTTTCTTAAAGGAAACCAGGAGCGAAGCCAAACAAGCCAACACGTGAGCACTACAAACTAAGATGTCCAAGAACAAACGAAAATAGAAGGAACCAACAAGAACCAAAACACATACTCAGAGGAAGCTCACCATTAGTTCATGGTAGTCGCTTTCCCATTCCAATTGTTTCCTCGCCAAACGCAAGGAGAGAACTGGGCCGAGCCTCTCGCCCCAAGGGTTGGTGACTCATGATTCCAACCCCCAGGAGTGACAGACAGACACACACACACACACACACACACACACACGTAAAAAGGCAAAGCTTGCTTCGGACTTTACGGGATGAAGCATGGCAGTCCACATATATAAATACATACATACATACATACATACATACATACATACATACATACATGCATGCATGCATGCATGCATGCATACATACCTACATACATACAGGTAAAAGTCCAGAGGCATGGTGAATTGCAGTCCTTTTGTGCGCTGGGTCGGCCATGGGATCCCATCGAGAGGCCCAGAACCCCGTGACACCTCGGTGAAGTTTTTTCCGTTAGGAGACGCCCGGGCAGCTGTACATCGCCGCCCAGACAGCCACCGTGGAGTGGAAGATCCAGGAGCGGCAAAGCCGCTTCGATCGAGGGAGGGAAAGGGGCTTCTTCTTGGTGGCTCCCAGCCATCCCCGTAGATTTTTAGCTTTTGAGTGTTTAGTGGTAGTTTCCATTTACCCCACTAAAAGTTAAACCTTTAGCGGGGGATCTGAGGGCAGCCCAGTTTTGACGAGGGTGTCAAGGTGAGAGTTGGATTCAAGTTGTTTGAGACTACTCCTTTCGGGGATTAGACGACCTTTGCACAATCTCTGCTTATGTTGAGACAGTTGAACGCCCCCAGTTCGCGGTTGGGCAGAGGGGAATCTAAAAACACAGCATGCATTGTTGGACGAGAGCTTGGCTGTATAGATACATTTGTTGAGGGCAGGATGGATCGACGGGCAGCCACATAGCCAACATGAACGCAAGATCGATATATCGCTCAAATTACTGACCTTTACTGGCCTCAATCAATTTTGGAGAATGCCTTCCGGCTCATTTCAGATCTCATGTTTGGATCTGGGGCTTGATCAACAGGTCCTTTACATGGGATTTCCATTGGGAAGACCCACTGAAAAGATGATCTTGTCCACTCAATGGCGCAAGTTACCCATGTTCATTTGGGGCCGAAGGGAATTTTGGTCAACCCCCGTCTGTTGGTTTTGTGTCCTCTCGCTTTGCTCTTGCGAAGCACAACCCAGACAATCCATGTAGGTAATATATACCAACATTTGACCCATTTGGAGCGTAAGTATGGGTAACTATCTAGCAGACACGGATTCTAGGTCCCCCAGTAGTGCCCTTTTACCTTTTTTTCGGGGAGGGTTCCCCTAAAAAAGACTACCGAAAGAAGGGTATCCTTATTCTAACCTCTCAAATCTGGAGGACCTAGCAGTGTTTGGGGGCCAAAACCCCGAGAACTCGTTCACTCGCGCGAGGACTTCCCCCGGCGCGCGCGGAGCGGCGGGTGCCTGGACGGTCCAAAGTTTGGGCCCCGCGGCCTGTGGCAGGCGAAGCGGCTCGCGTCGGCGCGGCGAGTCGCGTCGAGTCGCGTCGAGGTCGGAAGCTCGCGGTAGGTTTGGCCCGAAGGGAGACGGCGGCTTTCGCAGGGTGAGTCGGAGTTATCTAGATCATCAAAATGATATATGAAATTAGAAATCCTGGGACCCTGGATATATATGAGTATAGATGTATATATGAAATCCTTTTGGGCATATATATGAAGTTAGTAGAAATCCTTAGGCACTTTGGGCTTGAAGCTTGACATTTCACGGGACGGATTTTTCTTGCAATCGGCGTCACAGCTTGAAGGGCCCCAATCGTGCGCATGGAGATCATGCGGTGAAGACGACGGTCATATTCAGGAGGGCCGTCGACACAAGTTGGAGTTTGCGACCCACAGAGTGGCGCCTTCCGCAAGAAGCTGCTTCCGACACCACTTTGAGATAAGGTCTGATTGATGTGATGGGTTGCTTGAGTCCGAGTCGGCCCTTGTTTTCGAACGCAGGCGTTCGCTTCTGACATGTTTTGAATTTGCCGTTTGCAAAGCAGGTTCGCTTTGATCGGCTTCAAGGAAACGCTGGGCTCATTGACTGAAGCACCCCATGTCCTGAATCGAGACAGGCAAATCTGCTTTGCAACGCACAGCAATCGCAACGAGATGAGGCCCACATTCTGACGCATGGGTCTGTGTGTGTGTGTGTGTCCGGAGTGTCAGATTCACCCTGACGCCAACCTTTTCATGCAGGGGGCAGTGGCCCACTGATGAGCCCACTGCCAACGAAGCTGCTCATGAGTTGAGAGGATATCCGGACTGATCATCCGGACGTACCTGCAGTTGCAAACGTGTGCTTTGTTTCGCTGTTGATTTGTTGACTCCGGTTGTGATGTGTTGCCGCTGTATGCTTTTCGTCAGCCAAGTCAAGCCATCGGTCTCGCCAATCGAAAATCCACCCACTTGAAACTTACCGGCTGCGCTCGAAAGATGAGATCTCTCCTTCGGGAGTTGAAGTGTGATTGCCCCGTCTCGGGGGACCCTCGGGTGTACCCATCATTGCGTGACCCCGGGCCGGCCTCGCTGGACAATTTAACCTCAACGTTCTGATCATAGACCAGCGGAATTGCACGTTTAAGCAGACACGAGGTTTCACTAAAGGGAAGACAGCCACTCAATCATAGAACGTTTCACTGTTTCGTTTCTCGGCTTCGTCATCCGCGTGTCCGTCTTCTGGTTCTTCGCCCGCTTAGGGATGGCTTCTCCTTCCTCCCGCTCTCTTCTTCCTGGTTTTCGTGACCCGCGCGTTCGTCCTCCTCCTCTTCGCCCGTCTAGGGGTGGCCTGGTTGTCTTGGTGTTGTTCAGCTTTCTCCTCGTCATCTTCTTCCTGCCTGTCTACCTGTTCCCACTCCTCGCTCTCCTCACGCAGTTTGGCTTGATGTCTTCCTCTCCTTCCGTTGCTATTTCGCGTTCGTCCTCTTGGCCCCTCGCGGGATTCGACGTCCTCTTCCTCGAGCCTTGGTCTTCATCCTCGCCCTAAAACGCGTACTAAGCCCTCTAACCCCTTCCCTTTCCTCTTTTCCCTTTTGTTCCCTTGTTTTCCTCCCTGTCTTCTCTTTTCTTTCCTCTCTCCTTTCTCCGGGCGGGCTGCGGCGCCCTAACTACGCACCTCGACCCCTTTGTCTTCTTTTCTCTCTCTCTCTTTCCCTCTTTGTTTCGTTCCCCCCTTTTTTGCTGTCTTTCTTCTTTTTCCTTTTTTCCCCTTTCCCGCTACATCCTGTTCTTCCTCGTCGCCCGTTGAGGGATGGCCAGTGTTTTTGTCGGTCTTCAACTACGCGGTGTTCTTTGTCTTCAAGGTTTAGGAGGGTGTTTCTGGACTGTTTGTGTCTTTGCCCTTGTCGGTGACCTTAAACTCGGCTTCCCCTGGTTTTCGTGTTTCTTGTTTTGGGTTTTGCCCGCGGGGACTCAACTTGGGGCTTTCTGTTTCTTTTGGTTTCCTGCTCCGTTTGTTTTCCGTTGGGGTATTCGTCCATTTTTTCGGGCGGGTGTGTTGTTTGGGACCTTTTCTTGAAAACATTCACCCGCCCCTCATAGAGGGGCGTGTGTGTGTGTGCGGAGTGTCAGATTCACCCTGACGCCAACTTTTTCATGCAGGGCAGTGGCCCACTCATGAACCTACTGCCAACGAAGCTGCTCATGAGTTGGGGGGATATCTGGACTGATCACCCGGACGTACCTGCAGTTGCAAACGTGTGTGCTTTGTTTCGCTGTTGATTTGTTGACTCCGGTTGTGATGTGTTGCCGCTGTATGCTTTTCGTCAGCCAAGTCAAGCCATCGGTCTCGCCACTCAAAAACCCACCCGCTCGAAACTTACCGGTTGCACTCGAAAGATGAGATCTCTCCTTCGGGAGTTGAAGAGTGTGTGTGTGTGTGGGTGCGTGAGTGCGTGCGTGCGTGACTGTGTGGTGTGTGTGTGTGTGTGTCTGTGTGTCTGTGTGTCTGTGTGTCTGTGTGTCTGTGTGGTGTGTCTGTGTGTCTGTGTGTCTGTGTGTCTGTGTGTCACTGTGTGTCTGTGTGTCTGTGTGTCTGTGTGTCTGTGTGTCTGTGTGTCTGTGTGTCTGTGTGTCTGTGTGTCTGTGTGTCTGTGTGTCTGTGTGTCTGTGTGTCTGTGTGTCTGTGTGTCTGTGTGTCTGTGTGTCTCTGTGTCTCTGTGTCTGTGTGTCTCTGTGTCTCTGTGTCTGTGTGTCTGTGTGTCTGTGTGTCTGTGTGTCTGTGTGTCTGTGTGTGTCTGTGTGCGCGTGCGTGTGTGTGTGTGTGCGCGTGGTTTTCAGATTTGGAAGCAGTTGCAGCTTGGGTGATTTTGACAGAACCACATTTTGACCTGAGCCACAATCAACACCCGGGCAAGTGAAGGTTAAATTGCATCTATACTTCCAACAAGACATGGATGTGGATATCCGGCCTTTTGTTCCTGAAACTGGTTTTTGGGTAGGCCACTTTTCAATGTCGATCCCGGACACATTGAACTAGATTGTTCTGGTTCTTGTGAAAGATGCCCTCTAAAATGGGACACCCAATGAGTTTAGACTAGAGGTGAGCGGGTGGGTTCCCATGTGCCCTCTGCAAGAACCAGGGGTTTGAAAGCCCAAGCCGCCGATCCAAGCCACCAATCCAACGAAGCAGCGGTTGATCACGGTCAATCCTCGGTTCTAGGTTTGTTTCGTGTGACGCGCTGGTCAGATCTTCTGCCACCCAGACGGCCGCTGCTTCAACCTGCCGCAGGGCGGGCCCCCTGGGGTGTTCCTGCGCGCCTGGGCTCGAGCAAGGGTTCTCTGGTAAGTCCAGCCACTCACCCACCCACCCCAGCCGCCCGCTCGCCCCACCCACCCCACCCACCCACCCACCCCACCCACCCCACCCACCCACCTCAGAGGACACTTGGCCCTTTGGCATACCTTCAACCAACCCAACAGAAGCTAACCTCCAAAAAGATACCCAGAGCATAGTGGACAGCGTGGGTTCCCGGAGTCAATTCTGGTGTTCGAGGGTAAACATGAGGCCTTCCATGACTGTCACACCGCATGCGTTAGCTTCATGATGTCTGGGAAAACACACCAACCAATTGGGTTTGACATTTGAGATATACCCACTTTAGGCTGCTTGTTGCAGGTAGAGGTGCTGTTGTGGTTGGGTTGAATCTACAACTGCTAGCCGAGCCATGCCAAGTTCGCAAGGAAAGAATAAGTTATAAGAAATAAGTTAGAATGCCACTGTAGCTATGATCCGTTTCGCAATGTTTAGGTCTACACATCACATGTATTATATATATATGTATACATATATTCACTCAAAGTTCACTGTGCTGATGTGCTGAAACGATTTGGCTGTGATGTGTTCTGTTGTGATATGATGCGATGCAACGTGACGTTCCATGTGTTCTTGATTATTGTCAATGGGCTTTGCGGGTGCTCCTACCGTATCATGAACGTGTGTGATACGAAACTCTTATATCAATCACACAGGCACGCTGAAGCAGCAAGAGCGCACTCACTCACGGCGCACGTGGCCAGAGAGGATGCGAGAATTGACAAAGCCAGCAAGACAATATGTTTGAGTTGCTGCAGATTGGTAGTGAGTCATTGTCTTACTGTCTCGTGCCACACTCACGCGTTGTCCAGTGAAAACTGAGCAGAAGAGGTATTTTGGAAAGCGCATGAACCACAACTTGAAAGATCTCAAAGCGCGACCGGGTCAAGAGATTTGCGGGCCCAGCCAATACTTGTTGTCACGTGTGTTGTAGATCATGCTGCTAGTCGGAGTCAGCCGCGTTTGCACTGTGAGTGAGCAGACAGAAGCCCGATCACAAAGCTAAACCGCGGGATGTGCTTTGCTGGTCTCGCCAAACTGCTCTTTTATTCGGTCCCGTAAGTAACCCTGTAAGATCTGGGCAGGCAAACAGGCACAGCATGCTGTGTGCTATGTGTTTTCTTTTGCCGCCGCGTAGTGTTTTTCCATATTTGTCAGCACAGCACCGGATGGGCGATCTCAGGTTACCTTGGGCCGCATGCCGCTTGAATGCAAAGCATCGGCATCTGTTCGTGTGGCACTTTCACTTAGCCGCTTAGCCCTTTGCTTCCAAAGGCAACCTCCAAGCAAAATCGAAGCTCCAACTCTCGGAAGCTGAGTTTGTTGAATCACGTTTTTTTTCCCGCAACGTACTGCTTGTGGCGAGTTTTCTCACAAAAAAAAACAGCCTGCCGCAGGTTTTCTCAGACAACGCCAAAGGTGCCTCAAAACAGAGGCCATCTTGCTGTTTGCTCCTGTGTGTGTGATGTTTGTTGTGTTCAGAAAACGATTAGTTACCCGCCATTGTGGTGTAAGTTGCACGCCTTCCACAGGGCTACTTTGTCCTTTAAATCTTTCAATTCGCATCCTGTCATTGGAATGTTGTGATCTTCGTGTCGGGAGCCAATGCTGGCATTTGTGTCAAGGAACGGGTGCCGGCGTACGCCACTATCGCGCCTGCGGCTGCAAATGTGTTTCAGTTTAGTGCCATTGCTGCACAACCTGTTTCTTGGAAGTCATTGACAGTTTGATGTAGTCTTACTGGGTTGTAAGGATAAGGGGGATCAAGGTACAGATGCGAAGTGCCGAAACAGAGATGCGCGCGTGCCGTTTATGTCTCGGAGTGGCTTGAATCTGCCCTTGATACCCGATGAGTGCATGGCAGTTGTTTCAGGAGAAGCTTGTGGGTGGAGTGTACCGCGTCCCGGAGCGCCTCGGTTAAGGAGTTGCCAGTGACGTCTGCGTTCCCCGAATTGAAGCGGATTCGCTCCGCTCCGAGTTTAGGGGTTCTCCGAAATCGGAGAAGACAAGCAAGCATTTGGGTTGTTAAAAAAAGCGACATGCTTTAGGATGGGCCACATCCAAGGAACTGCATGTGAGCATTGATTGACCCGAGGAACAACACTCGTGAATCACCCTTTGTGGTCATCTTTGGCCGCTGTGAGATTGAGGACCTGTTCTGCAGTGAGTCTCACTGGCATGTCAACCAAGCACTTGCAGCTCGCAAGCTGAGTTTGGGAAACCACAATTGCCAGCCTTGTCGGATTATCCGCGATGTTCAATCTAATCTCCACAGCTTCTGTGGAATTGCAGCTGACAGAAACCCGAAATTTTCGCTGGACCCTAGCAACTCTCTCTCACCAGGAGTGGGGTGTGTGCAAAGATTTCGGCCTCTTCGACGAGGAGTTTGCAGCAGATTTAGTGGAGGAGGCTCCCGAGATCCAGCAGTAAGCTTGTCACTTCACTCCTCGGGTGGTGAACACAAAGCCGGGTCACAGCATTGGCTCGCATCAATATCAACTTCAAGGTGCTCTGGGTTGAGCAAGCGAACGTGTTTAGGCACGACCTATGGGCTGTGTCCTGCATTGTCTTGCATTTGACAAATCCAGTATACGTTGCTTTATGTTGGTTTCATGCGGGTTCCCTTGCAAGGCGCCTCAGTTGGACGCGCCGTCATGTGGCGCACTCCCGTTCCACTTTTTCCCCCTCTTACTTCTCCTCACAAGTCACCAACCAAGAAGGGCACTCCCCTTTCCCCACTCAAAATCAGTCACGAAACCCCAGAGCCGCCACGACCAAAAGCTAGCCTCAGATCTTTGGGGCGTGCTCAATGCTGGCGCCGCCTCTTGCGGGAAAGCGGACTGGCTTTCTAAGCACCGCAGCCTCACTAGGCTCCGCAAAAAGCGCCAGGAGACGGGGGCCCTGGCATGGGAGTCCCAGAAAAAGCCACAGCCAGGTCACTTAGCGCAGCTGAAGGCTGCAGCTGAAGGAGCCACTTTAGAGGGACTGTTTTTCAAAAGGGAACCCCTCCGGCCGGCACGTTGGCCGGTTTGGGCAAGTGTAGCTCCCCGCCCCTTCAAGGAAGGAGCATTGCTTTCGTCTTTCTCGTAGCTTCCACCACTGGGATGGTCGAACTGGCTTAGACTCACAAACAGTTTCACCGAAGAAAAGGACTTATGGAAGGCATACTGCAACCAATGTTGGAGCAGATGTCCCTTTCAAATCGACAAAAGGGGTGTTCACACAGAGAGCCAGTACCCTCGAGACAACCCCTTGACCCCATAGGTCTAAGTCTGTGGGGCCAAAAACTTGCTGCTCAGCATGAGAAATGGAATGACCCCCAGAAACCATCCAGCTGGCGGTTTCCTTTAAGGGGATCCCCTTCCGGTTCATTCCAACTCCCGGTCTCAGTCATTCCCTACCCATCGCACCAGAAAGAGAACCCAGAGAGCGAAAAGGCGGATGATCGCACACCAGCACCTCGAACAGCACCCCCGCCGAATAGCGTGGCGGCTGTCAATCTGGCGAAAATGCACCCGCACCCCAAACTGCATGCCTCCTAGCGCCTGCCATCCAGCGCCCGTCAATCTTGCAAAACTGCGCCGGCACCGTCACCTGCATGCCTACGCCGCTAGAATTGCGCCGTCAATCTTTCAAAAATGCACCCACCGCTACCAGCACCTCAAACAGCTCCTCAAACGGCACACCCGAACAGCATCTGCACCAGCACCCCAAACTGCCCCTAGCACCCAGCCGTCAATCTCGCAAATCAATCTTGCAAATCACTTTCCCCTCTTTAATAAGGCCAGAACCCCTGCAGCTTTCAGCTACTTGGGAAAAAATGGAACTCGAACGTTCGCAGGCTCTGATGCTCCGTGCTCGTATCACCTGGATCGAGCCGCGGCCGGACAGCCTGCTGCCGCGGGAGGCCGGGAGGTTCTGTGTGGGTGAGGTGGGGTGGGTGTGCCCCCCAAATAAGAGGGGTACCCCAACAATCGCGGTGTTCCCCTTTCAACCAATCCCAAAAAGGGTTCCCCTCCCCCAAATAAAGGGCACACCCATGTTCAGGTTTAGGGATGTTGGATATATGTTGTTGTGATGTTGTGGGATGGAACAATATGTTGCTACAGTGAACGAAAGCCGGCTTTACAATAATGGTGTGAGCTGCTCATATGAGGAGATGGGATTTCTCTGGTTCTTTCTGGTGCTAGACTCTGCGAGCTGGGTCGTTTGGTTGTGATCTGAATCCTGTCATCCATTTGGGACAACCTCCAGGAGCTACTTGCAGTGGTCGTAAAGGGGATATTTATGCATGTGGAGGGGAACAGGGTTTGAACGCAAGCAGCAAGGTGGTGAACGTGCGGCGCTTGCGATGCGGCTGTGCTCCGCGGCAGCAAAAGCATGTCCAGCATGCAAGTTGCTTTTTCGTAGATATATTTTCGGGCGCCTGTTTCCTGTTTTCAGCGGTTCTTGTAGAGGGTAGATGGGAATCCTCCCCTGAACCGGCAAACCATCAAGGGAAGCTGGTTCTTTGAGTTCAAGCTGTGACAACTTTGACCAGAGCAATTGACAAGGTTGACCATTGACAGTTTGAGTTGCTGAGTAGACTTTCCACTTACACTTAGCCTTCGATGTGGCGATGAGGTTTGATTCCAAGAAGGGATTCAACCAATTTGAAACACCACCACCGCATTTTTCGACTTCATTCGTGCATATTCCAAGTTCCAGCTGCTGCAGACATGCGTATGTGTGGCTTGAAGCAAGTACTTGGATCCAATACACGATCGCAGTCATTTCGAGGTCCACTTTCACCACCGAGATGCGACTTAGGACAACATCACAACGGACTTTGCTGCCCTTTGGCTGGCTCGGCATAGCAGCACAGGAGGCCGGGGCGAGAGGGGAAGGGAGAGTGAGCAGGGCACACTGACATGCGTGCCCTCAGCCTGCCTTCAGCGAGCGGTTTGTTGGATTGCGGCAGGGGAGCACCTATTGATCTGCCAGATCAACTTGCCGGTGCTCAGGGCATGAGAAATGGAATGACCCCTATAAACCATCCAACTGGTTCCTTTAAGCGGACCCGCAGGATCCTTCCCTCATTCCCTATCGCACCAGCAAGTCAATCCATGCGGGGTCGGCATGAATACATCCTTTGCCAGGAGCTGTTGCTGACTCCACTGGCCCTTCAGCACGGCCGCTTCCGCCCGGGGCGGGCGCCTCAAATTTTAGCGGCGGGGCCGGAAACGGTTCGGGCTCGGCTTGTCTACTGTGAGCCCCTAGTTGCTTGCTGTCTTCTGGATGTAGGTGCTGGACAGAGGGGGCTTAGAGCTCTTAGGACACTCCTTTAGCGGATAGACAATAGGTCAGGAAGCCAGTATTACTAGACATCGCGCATGCTTTAAGTGACGCAGCCCGCAAACATACCCCTTGCAGAAGCCTCAGGTATGGGCATTTTCATGAAGGAACTATGTTCTTTTTGGACTTGCTAGAAGGCCTTGTAAAGCTGACAGCTTGGGCTGCATTTGCGTGCTCAGTTTTGCCTCATGTGAGCAGTGCTGAAGACTTGCGATTTCTTAGTCACAAGGGCGGCGATCATCAGCCCTTGCTGTGCTTCTGCTTAGATCCCTACGGCGGGTTTCAGGCCACTGCTTGGAGGTTTTGTACGGGGCTCCGGAGCCGAACTAACCTTTGCCGTCTTAAAGCTTGCGTGTGCCACTGTCTCAGCTGAAGTGAATATTTGCGACTTGCGTTCTGTACTCGCAGGTCTACACGGCACCGCTCAGGGATATGGGAATGTAATGTCAACTTCAGACTGACTATCCCCATAGCGTTCCTTGACCAAGATGTGCGAGGCCAAAGATTTGGGGATTGACTTTGGACACAAGTGATATGTTGTAGAAGGCTCGTCACATGCATAACTGTAAATATACATATTATATATAGTTACATGTACAGGTGCATTTGTATATTATTATATATGTAATATATCAGTGTAACATATTTTGGTATGTATATATATATAAATATATACATATAGACATACGTGTACTCATGTTCCTTAGACACGTCGGGGCCTCGAGCGACTTCACTGAGGATGTGGTCCTCCTGGCCGAAGGTCAGCGCTTCGAAGCGGACCGTGCGTGCCCCAGCTGCCCTGAGCCAAGTTGGCCCAAGATACTAAGGTTCGTCCATCTCTGGTGCGCGATGGGAAAGAAAGAAAGAAGGAAGGAAGGAAAGAAAGAAAGAAAGAAAGAAAGAAAGAAAGAAAGAAGGACATACAGCAAGAAATACAGAAAGAAAGAAAGAAAGAACGAAAGAAGGAAAGAAAGAAAGAAAGAAAGAAAGAAACAAAGAAAATAAAGAAGGAAAGAAAGAAATAAAGACGGAAAGAAGGTAGGAAGGGATGAAGGAGAGAACGAAAGAAACCAAGAAAGGAAGGAAGGAAGGAAGGAAGGAAGGAAGGAAGCAAGGAAGGAAGGAAGGAAGGAAGGAAGGAAGAGAGAGAGAAAGAGCAAGAAACATAAATATAGAAAGAAAGAAAGAAAGAAAGAAAGAAAGAAAGAAAGAAAGACAGAGAGAAAGAAAGACAGAAAGAAAGAAAGAAATACAGAAAGAAAGAGAATAAATACACAAAGAAAGAAATACATAAAGAGAGAGGGCGAACACAAGAGAGAGAGAGAGAGAGAAAGAAAGACAGATATAGTCAGAGAAAGCAAAAATGAAAGAAAGAAATGAATAAAGAAAGAAACAAGGCAAGAAAGAACAAAATAAAGAAAGAACGACAGAAATAAAGAAAGAAAGAAAGAAAGAAATAAAGAAAGACGGAAAGAAAGAAAGAAAGAAAGAAAGAAAGAAGGAAACAAGGAAAGAAAGAGAGACAGAAAGAAAATTGAAAGAGAGAAATAAAGAAAGAACAAAATAAATAAAGCAAGAAAGGACGAAACAAAGAAAGGAAGGAAGGAAGAAAGAAATAAAGAGGTAATCAGAGAAATAATGAAATAAAGAAGGAAGGAAGGAAGGAAGGAAGGAAGGAAGGAAGGGAAAAAAGAAAGAAAGGAGGCAGAGAGAGACAGATCATCAGCTTTAGCTCGAACTGAGCTGACGTTCGCTTCGCAAAGAGTATCGATGAGGGGCGAACACAACCGGCTGGTTGTCCTAATTTGAGGCGGACTATCGTTGGGGTCGGCACCTCAGTGTCGACAAATGTTGCTCAAAAGAAGTGGAAGGCGTGAGCTACCCACATGAACTTCTGAACCACTAGCAAGTCAGATTTATTCTTTGGCGGGCTTGCACGCTCCCTGATGAATTTCTGGACTTGATGTTTTTTTGGGAACACCATTTTGGCGGTAAAGAACAAATTTGAAGTTTTTTGGGCTAGTCTACTCAAGAAGTGAGCGTTTATTAGCTGATTTAGAAGAATATCTTTGCAGGCGATTTGGGATGCATCCTTCAAGGCACCCTGTATTTGCTTGCTGGTGCTCAGGGCATGTGGGAATGAACCCAGGGATTCCCTTAAAGGAAACTATAGGGGATGCTTTATAGGGGTCATTCCCTCATTCCCTGCCTATCGCACCAGCAAGTTTGGCACCATTAATGGTAGTCGGCCAGGGTTTAGACCGTCTTTAGTTTTTGTTCTCCCCGACTAGTCCCTGGCAAGCTATTTGGATGCCTTGTTTGCATTGAACAAATCCTTGAAGCTGCATGTGATTCAGTTGCTTAGATTCGAATTTACTGGTGGGGCCTCGACGTCAGGCGTGGTCCTCGCAGCGCGCAGCAGCTTCTTCGCTGGGATGCTCTCCTTCCGCGCGAAGCTCGGATTGTTTTGCGAGGTCTGTGTGACTTCCACGAGCATTTTCTCGCTGGTTTGGGGATCAGAAAAAAACATCCACAAAGTCCCTGTTCCCTTCAAGTCTCCACTTCGGACAAATGCAATTCATGCTATGCAGCACCTGCAGCGACAGTAGAGGAGTCTCCTTTTGGGAGCTGGCTACTTCTGGTCCATATGTTTTTTTCATGTGGCAAATGGGGCTGGCTGTCGGAGTGACTTAGGAGTTTGCCCGGACTGGAAGTAAATCGCTTGCAGGTTCGCTGGGGTTGCTAGTCTAGCGATCAAGCCAAAAGCGGTTTTTCATATTGGCTTAGTGTTTGCAGCGGATTCCCCTTGCAAGGAACCAATATTCTTCTATGCCAGTCTCTTTGGAGGAACCCAAGTATGCGCCGATAGGGGTGGGCTTTCATGTTGGGAGCCATTGGGGACCTTCCATCGGAGCGTGGCTTTTTGTATAGAAAGCAAGCCATACATTGACGGGCAGATATTCAGAGCACAAGAATCAGACGAATTCCGTCACACAGTCACACCTTCTGATAGTCAATTTAAAGCACAAGTTGCCTTGCTTACCCTGTATGCAGGTAAACAGATGCCTCTGAGCAAGACTCAACGCCAAATTCCTCCATGAGATAAACCACAAATCATCGACTCCATGTTGTAAAAACACACACACACACACACATTGAAAAGCCATGAAGTTTGTGTGTTGGTAACTTATTTCCCCAGATGTTCCTACATCGGTGTGTGTTTTTTGAGGGTACCCATGTCGGGGTGGTTTCAAAAGGAAACCAACATGGACCAAATGTGCCCTTTAGACACATTGTGACTTTGACTCGGACCCTTTGGTGGACATTTAGCTGGGGTGTCAACCGCTTGGGAGGCGGTTGCCTCTCAAGAATCATAGCCGCATGTGTTCAAGCATTTGGGTGTGTCTGTTTTTGAGGGTCCCCCTTTTTTTTTACCGGGACACCACGAGAAAACCCCTCCAACCGAAGACAACAGGAGCCGCCGGCGTTTGTCCCTTCGACAGGCGAGGGCACCCAGCGGGAGGTGGAGCTGCCGGTGCCCTCGCGGTCTTTGCAAGCCATCCTCCGCCCCTCGAGCGGGACGCATCGATCTGGAGAACTTCGGATCCGCGTTCTTTCCCTGGAAGTGAAGCAAAAACCCATGAGTCTGAAATAAGTCAATGAAGACTTTACGAAGCAAAAGCAAGAAAGCTCTGTGGTTTCCAAAAAAGCCCAAACCCGCGCGGGTTCCTTTTTGGGATTCTTTGGATCGCTTGGGGGATTCTCCAACTAACCTGTTCGCGTCGAGGCACTTCAAGGGGCCCCAGCTCGGATGAGCCACATGTGGACGCCCAAGAAAGGAAACCTAGAGTTTAGCAGCAACCTGGGGAAACTCCTGAAGCTACAGCGAACCAAGTAAACCCTTCAAAGGGAGATATGGCTGTGGGTCAAAACCAATGGTACCATTTTGGGGTAGGTGCACCACCCATTTTAGTCTATTTTAGTGGGGATTGGGATGTTCACTGGGGGTACGGGCTTTTGACCCATGGCAATATTGGGTTTCGCAAATGAATCTGGCAACCCTCTTTTCGATGGTTTGTTCAAAAACTAGCGGACAAGCTGCCATGAGCTGAGTGGGTTGACTTCTGGCTGGGCTTGGTTTACCCTTGACTAATGGCTTTTTGTTGAGCTGCTTGGCGTACACAGGTGACTCTTTGTTTGTTGATTAGTGTCCAAAGGTCCAGGGTAGCTTTGTACCCCTCTTTGTCCCCCTTTCAGTGGATTTGTTTTTCCCTACGGGATGGAGTCCCTTATCACGTCAAGGGACAGTGAGATGTTTGTGCAGACATTGCTCCATAGACACACCGTCCTTGCCCTTCCACGTTATGTGGCCGTGTCACGGCGTGTCGTTTTTGGAGGGTACCCCGTTTTTTGGATGGTTTAAAAGAGATACCCACCCTTTGGGGGTCCCGTGAAGAAGGACACCCATAAATTCCTAGCCATAGCTGGCAACTCTGCGATGTTGCAGATGACGAGGAAGGAAGGCTCAGTGGGGACAGGTGATCCTCTGAGCCATGGATTGCTTAGCCAGAAAGCGCAAAAGCAACTTAAGAGGGTCAGAGGCCCCCCCTATGTAGTCTCTAACTAAGTACTTGGTTGGTGGAGTATTGGTTTAGTATTAGTTTAGAACTCAGAGTTGCTGCTTAGTACTTGCTTCGTGTTGGTGTAGTACTGGTTTAACTTAGTGCAGATCTTGGACAGACCCTTTTTGTGTTTTGCGTTTGTTTGGCGGGGAAACAGTTTCTCGTGCTGAATACCCTTTCTGCCAAGTTCAACTGTTTTTATTTTCGAGTTTAGTACCCTTTGTCAGCTTCCCTCCAATCGGTGGTTCGAATTGGTGGTTGGGGATTTGAACCCCTTTGAGTGGGAAGCCTCCCCCAAACCACTTTGAGTCTTCAATTTTTTTCATTTCCGAGTTTGGTACCCTTTAAATGGTGAAAACATGTTTGTTTTTTTTCTTTTCTCGAATTTGGTCCCCTTTGAGTGGGTGACCAATGACTCGAGCTCCAGCCGACTCCAGCCGACCCGGCCGACTTTGATCTGAGCTCCGGCCATTCCGAGGCTTCGCCTACACCGACGAGAGCCCCGAGCTGCGGAGCTACGAGGACCGCCGCTGCTTCGCGCGGGCGAGGAAGCGCCGGAACCGTTGGTTTTTAGTTGCGACCCTGGGAAAAGGCAAAAGACTGGCAAAAGGTCCGGTCCAAGGAATTTGTGTAGCTTTGAAATCCTTTTTTGTTCTGGCATCGGGCTAGGATGACAGGCCCGTCTGATGGTGTTGCACGTGTTTTTGAATGCGCACACTTGCCATCTCAGGTGCCTGTGCACACCATGTAGGCACCAGATGGTCGTACGTGGTTGTGCGCATCTGTTCGGAGCTTTTCAACCTTTCAGGGAGTAAATCTTGTCAGGCTGGATATTTTTGTTTGCACAGGTGTGGCCCTAATCATTGTGTGTTTCCAAAGCTTGAAAGATTTGCAAGGCTTGCGCTAGCGGCCGAGGCGAAAGGTGCCACTGTGCCACTGTGCCAACGAGGAACCAAGATGGCAAACGAGCTCAATGAACTTTGCCTACTTCCCACAGGTAGGCATGTCTTAAATTATGGGCAGCTACAAAACAGTTTTCCTTTAAGTTTCCCTGTAAGCCAATGGTGGTTGGAAAGGGGGACCAAACAAGATCTCAAGGTCGAAGTGGGGGTCGACCCTCTATCAAAATATAAAAAAGCAACACAACTCCATGCGAAAGCTTTTGTTTTTGGGGGCCCCACTTTTTGTTTTGTTTTTCTGGCCGGTTTGGTTCTGTTTTTGGGGACTCCACCTCTTTTTTCCGGCTGTTTGGTTCTCTCCTTCGCTTCTCCCCTTCACTCACCTTGGATTGAGCTTGGAAAAAGCGAGGAGGCGGTGGAGCTTCTGGAGGCCTCCTCTCAGCTCTGCTTCCCCACTTTGGTGCAGCTCTGCGGGGACCACCTCCGCCCTTCGGCGAGCGGCTTCGGTGTCCGGTCGTTCGGAAGCGCGGGGCGTCGATGGCGGAAAAACGGAAGCGGCTTCGGAAACGCGGCTCGCTAAAGCGCGGTGTCGGAAACGCGGGAAGCCGGAAAGGCGGAGTCGGCGAAGCGGTCTGTTTTTTGCCTCGAAAACGAGGGGAAAAGGGTTGAGAAAGGAAGTACGCGGGCGGGGGGGTTGAGAAAGAAGGCGGGGGAAAAAGCGGAATGGGGAGTTTGTAAGGGTTGCGAGGGCACTGGAAAATGCGGTCAGCCCGCAGGGCCCATGCACGTGAGGACGGCCCTGTACTGTGACTTCTGCGATCAGCAATCGGCGGCTGGCATATGTAATGTTGACTCCGTATTAATCAACCTCATAGGGGGGTGGGGGGCCCTCCTAAAGTGGTCTGATTTCCCACTAAAACCAGGGACACCCCCTATTAATAAACTGGGATGGATTAATATGGGGTCAACATCATAATGAAGTTGTGGGAGGGCAAAGAAAATAATCCGTAGCAAGGATATATGTATCGGTGTGGAATACGGTGAACCACCAAAAATGATGGTGTCCTTTCAACTCGAAGGATCCTCATTGTGCACTTTGGTTGCAGGGTGCGAGCAGTGCAGGACATGAGATGAAGCCAGACGAAGCCTAAACAAAACGTGGTTCACAGTAGCTTCAAAGAATTACGATCGATGAGAAGCAGCCGGACGATGGCGGGAAGAGTATGGAAAGACTACAGCAAGACTACAAGAATACTGCAAGAACACGGAAAGACTACTGGAAGAGACTGCAGGACTACATCGCCAAACAACCCCAAATGAAGGATTTGGAGATGTTCCATTTTGGCACAAAGATTTTGGTGGCGGCTCGTGTAGTCAAACATCTTTGGCTCAAGGGCGGAAGGTCCGGTGCATTTGCTACTATCAACTGGTTCAGACCTTTTTGTTGACAGGCTTTTCATGCTTCAAGCGTGTTTTCACTTCTGTACGGGCCAACGCCTCGATGTAGCATTGTTGAACAATTGAAATGCTAGAGCCACATTGTGAAAGGCTAATCTATGGCTTCTGCATTGTACAAACAATACATATTTTCTGAGTGATCTGACTCTTCCCAGGCGACACCTGGCTGTCGCTGGAGAACGTGGTGCATTTGTTGCGCGTCGCTGACCAACACGGACGCTCGGCAGAGAATTCTCTGAGCCGTCGACGATTACCAGCATGGTTCATGTTGATTTTCCCTGTCACGGAAAAGCAGGAAGAGGAGCACTACCCAAATGAAGGGCTAGCAAGCATCGTCGCGTTGGTTGCGTGACCTTTGTTCTTGTGCGGCTGCTATGTCGGGCCTTGGGGGGGAGCCGTCTGCAGGCCTTCCAGCCTTCCAGTTTTGGGCATTCCCCTTCTCCTTGCCGAAGATGCCAGGCAGCCAAATGTTTAGTCACACCTGGCCTGCACCAGTTTTGGCATTCGCTTTTTGCTTCATGCCAGAAGGCTTTCTGTCAAGGTGCATGTTGTGAAATAAGATCATTCATGGCTTGCTGGGTCTGAAAGTGCATTGACGCTTGTTTTAGAGGCACACATTCTTACATTCTAGTCCAAATGCTGGCATGACAGGGTGCAATGGACATAAGATCTAGCCAATCTGATTTGACCTGGTTGCAACTTCTTTGCCACAGACTTTGCCTTGTGGCAAAGTCTGTGGCAAAGAGCAACGCCTCTGAGCCTTAGACATGAAGCTCATGCATCACTTGTTTCAAGGCCGGTTTCTGGGCCATGCGCTCGCGGGCTCGCGTCGGGCTGAGGAGCCTCATCGCTGAGGCGGGGACAAGGGCGCTGCTGATCTTCGGGTCCTGGGCCCTCCCCCACAAAAGAACATGCACACAAGAACAGGCATGGTCTCATTATTCTATGGGTACCTTCCCCATTCTTTCCAGGGATCCTTCTTTTCAGGAAACCATCAAAAGTTATAGGGGAAACAGCCAAAGAACGACGGTAGAAAAGAATGGGGAATCACCCCCTAGAATTACGGATTTGCCATCCCTGTTAAATTTTGTGTGTTGTTCATGCTAGATTTCTTAACATACCGTGTGTGTGTGTCGTTTGGCAGTTGGGCGTTGGCAAGTTGGTGACATTGAAGAACATGGCAGTGCGCTGCTGCCCATAGATAGTGTCCGGGTTAACTGAGGCTCATGTCGCATTCTGGGAGAAAGGACCGTTGATTCGGTTTCATCCCTAAATGTACGTGCGTATCTCGTTCTCTCTCTCTCTCCCTCTCCATGTATATATTTTATTTTAGAACTTCTGTCAGACTAGATCTGCTCAGGGTCACTTTTGTTTCATTCTGTTTGGCTTGGCTTTGTAAGTCTTCGTTGCTCTTCCTGTCGCAGAACGCAGTTACCCTCTGGACAATTCCCAGCCCGGCGACTGAATTCATGCTTGACGCTAGGTTTGGAACTTCTTTGGGAAACTCATTTTCCTCATACTGAAGAAATGGTGATGCTAGATGTCTCGATCAATGTAGTCTACGGACTCATCTATGGGGGATCACAATACATTACATGACATTCCATTACATTACATACGTACATATTCGTGCCAACAACTGTATGGACAACTGCAGTGATTTTCGGATCTGGACGGGCTTTGGCTTGCAACATGTGTTGGTAGGCACAGGTCCATCCTCCACGAAGCTTTTTGTAAGTCATCGTGAAACGATCCTAGGTCGTTCTGGGAAGCGCAAAGGTTGCGGGGTGCGGCCTCTCAGCCCCGGTCTTCATTTGCAAGGTGGCTGTGGCTCAAAAAAAATCCGGTACGCAAATTGGAACCCTGGTAAGTGAAAACATGGACCAAAACCTGCGGTTTGCCCCCGGTGTTTAATTTTGAGCCACACCCAGGTGTACACTCAAAACCCGCAATCTTCTGCACTCGTTCAACAGGCCCTTTTTTCGGGCTTATTTTTCTAGGGATAGCCCTCCCCCAACTCGCCCCAAATCCCCCCCCCCCCCTAGGCTCCATGATCTGCTTCAGAAGCGCAGCGCTTGCCTACGAGAATAGGTGTCCTTTTTGGTTAATTTGGTTTCAAAACAGATGGCGATTCCTTTTTTCCCTGGTGGTTCAATCAACTACCAGGGAAACCCATCTATTTTCCCAAAAAGGACACCTTGGTTTGGGTTGCTTTCGAGGGAAGCCAAAAGGGAACACCCAGATTTTCGGGCGCAAAATGGCCAAATGGGTACAAGGATAGCCCTTTCCCCCCCCTTCTGCCCCTGCAGCGCTTGCCCGCGAGTCGTTCAGATCGAGCGATCGAGCGAAGGGCCGAGGCGCTGGCCACGCTGGGCGCCCACTTCGAGGTGGTCAAGGCCACCTCCCACTGGGAGGAGCCGAGCGCATCGAACGCATCGCCGGAAGCCGAGAACCCGAGGGCGGTTGGACGCCCGGTGACCTGTGGATGTTTTTTTTGGATGGAATCCCAGGGTTGACGAGTGGCTTCACCAGGTGGGAAGAAGGAGAAACAGGGAGGTGACAGGGTTTGTGGAGGTTCGGTTTCACCTCTTTTCTCTCTCTTGGATGGGAAGAGGCGGGGGGGAAGTGGCTTTGCCTTTAAAGTGCAACAACACAAACGAGCATCCTTGTTCCAAGGAGACTGGGCAAGTGGGATCAGCAAGATTGCAGGCAACCTTAGCCACTGGTTAGTTTACATCCGAGACCAAATAGTCTGCTTGGGAAATCAGAGGCATTGGGCATTCCCAATCGATGTGGCCGCTCTTATCGTTGCATTGGTTTTGAATTCTTTGTTGGACGCCTGGGAACATAAAGGGCTTGGAGCAGCGGTGTAAGTAGCATAGCCCTGGGGACATTATATCAGCGCATTCAGAAATGACAGCTGGACACTCGTATAGCTTCAAGGTCAGCTCAACCTTGGGATAGAAGGTGCACAACCGGTGAGATGTTTTTTTTTACTCATGGAGCGAGCCTTGTCACACCTGAGTTCATGCCCTTCAAGTTTTCTCCATGTACGAACCACCTCTATCGCGAGAGCTTCCGGGCCTGGAGGCTCCGAACTGACCCATCGGTGACACGAAAAATGAGGGCAAGCCTTGGCAAAAGGGAGATCGCTGCCAAGGCTTCGGCTTAGGCTGTTGAGAACTGGGACATGCCTGGCGACAGGAGCTGCTGCAGAACGGCATGAACCCCATGCTCATCCAGGACTCATTCGCCACGAATTGGCAAGCTTCCATAGCTCCTTAGGTTGACCCAGGTGGTTTGAAGCGGCTGACAACAGCCCTTTCTCATCAAACTATAAAAAGTTGTAGATTTTCCAGCTTTGTGGGAATGCTGCACAAACTGAGGCCACAGGGTTGGCTGACCCAGGGTCTTACAGGGTTGGCTGATCCAGGGTCTTCTCAAATGCAAGATTGAAACTGCGATCGGTTCTGGCTCTTTCGTTGTCCTGACCCATTCCTTTGTTGCATGTTTGATTATTTGAACGGGCGAAACCGGGGATCCCTTTGAAGACGGAGCCAACGGGAAACCGCCACATATTGTTCCAGCCCAATCTTCCCATTCGTGTATGGATGTGTCTAATCTACGCCGAAGAGAGAGGGCTCTTTTGCACCCACTAGCTCACTTAAGAAACACCTCAATCCATGCGCAGGATTTCTTTTCCGCGTTTCAGGACATGCTGCAGGCCGTGCAGGCTGCAGCCATCTCTGCTGGCCGGGCCAGCCTGAAGATGTGATTGCGGGCGCGACGAGGCAGGTACCTTACCGCCGGCAGCCGATCTCCAATGTGTTCTTGCTCAGGATATGGGCAGGATATGCTTGTTTGATGCGAGTTGAGACTAAATTTGGGCATAGCCAAAACCCAGACATGCCAAAAATGTCCAACTCCGTCGCACTTTGGTTGGAGATGATCGAACCCGCCTGAGCTGGAGGCGAGTGAGCTGGAGGCCAAAGAGATGCCTCACGTGGATGGGCCTCGTCCGTATTCCTTCTGACTAGCATTGGACTGGGTTGTTGCCGGTACATGCTGCTTGAGGGAATCCCTTGTCCAGCAAAGATGCCAATATTCTACATGCTCTTTGGCTATGCCTGAAGCAAGGTTGCATACCTGGGGCTCAGCCGCACTCTGCCATTGGTCCATCCACCCCAATTCGCGCGGTTTGCGCGGCGAATTCACGGCTCGCATAGCGCGCGGGCGAGAAAAACTTGGGAAAGGAGATCTGGATTGAGAGGTGGATGTTGTGCTGATTGCGTGTGCACCTGTTTTGCAGTGGGTCTTTCGGAATCGGACACAGTTGCTCACTTTTGGGGTGTTTGTGTCATGGAAATATATATATATATATCAACCAGCAGTTGATGGTTTGGATCGGTGGTTTGTGGATTTATTGTTGTGGAAAAGATCAAGCCACTCCAGTACTTCGGGGCAGGTTGATTGCTTCCAAACTGCCAGCTCGAATCCCCAGGTTTCTGCAGCAATCCCGACAGCTCACAAGTTATCTTTCCGCCGGCCGCGTCGCGCGGGATCTCTGAAATGGTGCGGGCCCTGCTTTCTGCCAGCCTTCTCGCCGCGGCTGCGGCCAGCCCCTTCGGCTTTCCCAGGTACAGGCGAGCGGGTTGGGGTACAGCTGAAACGGAGTTGAAAGGAGACCATGAGGATAGCGGGGCAAAAGCAAAACGGTGATTTGTTCAGGCGTTTTAGTTGTTTAGTTGTTTAGTTTCTTCCTTAGTTCCGTTAAACCGAGTTTGTATGGTGCTTGTTTTAGTTAGTTTCTTCCTTGCGGTTCATCTCAAAGGCTTAGTGGGCAAAAGGCAAAGTGTGTGTAGCTCACCGAGCGCGCTTCAGCGCTTGGCCCGGACAACTCGCTTGAGACGGATCATCCCATCGACTACATCAGATCAAGCAGGTGGAGTAAATGTATCCTCATGGACTTTGGTTTACTTGAGCTTCCATTTGCCTAAGAAACTGTTATATTTTCCTCTTGATGATTCAAAAGGGAAGCTGTCACTACTGGAAATAGAGTGACTTTTCCCAGGGCTTAAGCAGATGGAAGTGACATGAGCCTAATATGAGTAATTAAGATGCTTGACACACATGAGAGGAGCAATTGTTGAATGACTTTGCACAACCGTGAGGTGGTTGTGTGTAATTGATGTGTTCCGGAGTCGTGTTCAACACTCCAATCATTGAAGAAACGCCATGTGTACAGGTTTATTGATTTCTTTGATTTATTTGTTTACTCATTTGTTTGTTTATTCATTGTTGTTTTGTTTTATAGGTTTAGTTAAATTTGTTGTTTTCTTCTATCCTTTTATTTTGTTCTTGTGTTTTGGTTATCTATGTATCCATTTATTCCTTTGGTTTGTTTGTTTGATTGTCTGCGATGGATGCGATGGATGCGAATTATGTCTCAAATGACATCTCAACACCTGCACTATGAGGGATCGAGCTATAGAGTGTTCAGTTGTTGCCAGGCGAATGGCCCGCACACTGATGTTTGCTGAAGCTCTCGCTGGTATTTGACCAAAGTCGCGCACAGCTCTTTGCTGAAGTCATGCAGAACAAACCATGCTCAGCATAAAGCGGAAGGTGATTTGGAGGCACAAGGGGAATCAGCAACCTAGCGGCCGTCAGTTTGGGGTGATGAACCTCCCAAAGCTTTCCCTTGCAAGAGTTGGTGTGTTCAAAGTTAGAGACCTCTATCCCCATGGTTAATCTTATGTTGGTTTGCGTATACCAGCGACCCAACGCAAATAAAGCCCTTGTTCACCTCGTGCCCTTTTTTGTCGGCGAGATACGCTTTTCGAAGACACCCTATCACTTCCACAGCCTGCAGGCATGGCAGTTTCGGCTTCGATCCCTTTCAGGAGGCGTATTACACTCAGGAGCGGTGGATTCCCTCGATGCGAGTATCAGCGTGTGGCTTGTTCCGTTGCCACAATGTTCAATGAATTCGCCGTGGCATTGTGTCGATTTGTGTAGCACTGGTTTCACATGATGGTTTCCCTGGCTACTGACCCGCAAATCAAGATGCTAGCCAAAAAGACAATTCCTCAGCGGCTTCCTCTGCCAGCACCCCCCAACTACTTCTTGGACACTACTTCTTGGGTTTGATAGTTGGATGTTCCAAGTTGGACATCTTAACCGGAATAGATCACCCGGCTGTGGGAGGAAATGCGGAGTGATCGACTCTCGCAAGGCGAAGTCAGGTTCCCTCGGCCAGTCTTGGGTCCTCAAGGGCTTGGAGTCGCCAAGGGATTTCACCGAGGTATGGGGTGTGGAATTTGCGCCAGTACCCAATCTTACCCTCCAAAAGGAGGGGGCTCACCCAGGATGAAAACCCTTTATAGAGTGGGGGGAATGATTCCATGGTCCAAGTTTTGGAGAACAGATGGATGCTTTTGCTGCGTGTTTCACCGTTTTTCTCTGCGTAAATCGAACAAAGAGCCCAGGGAAGAGATGCTTCCAGGAGCCCTACCGGCCGCCCTGCCCCAAGTACCGACCGCTGGAGCTGAGCCAATGGCAGGAGGTGGTAACGCCCCATGGAGGCTCGGGCTTGTGTTATGTAAGCAGTGGGTATGGGTCAAGATGAAACCAGGAATTGGACCAGTCATCCTTTCCATTCACCAGGGGAACCCATTTGGGATTACCTCCTTTCCATTCACCAGGGGAACCCATTTGGGATTACCTCCTTTCCACTTGCCAGGGAAACCCATTTGGGGTGACCCTATGTAAAATGTAGCAAAGCATGGCCATTTGAAAGGGTGAGCACGTTTCCTGCGGATTGCTTTGCTGGGGTTGAACTTGTGCTGAAGGTCTGCACATGGAGGGGTAAGACTTTGACAGAGCATTGACAAGGTGGCTGTGACTGCACGGTAAGGTAGTTTCTTAGATGTCGCATTTCTGCCATGCAAGCATCAACAAGTTGGGAAGATGCCTTTGTTTCTTCGTTCCTAAACCTGCTGGGTGAACGTGTCCGACATTTGCCGGTACCTGGTTGTCTACGTTGTGCAGCAAAACCTGCGAGCACTGGCAATACAATTTGAGCACCTGTCTCGGCTTCGAACAAAGTACACTCCCTCAGTCCAACAGCCGGAAGCTCCCAGAAGGCCTTTGTAAATGGAACTAAGTCTTCCATTTCGGGGGTGGGAGCTTCCATGTTCGCCTGGGAGAGGGTACGAGGTTTGCATGTTTGGTTCCTTTTGAGTTTCGTCCGCCCCGGCACCGCAGGCGGATATCAGCTGCAGGCCATCCTGCCTGGCGTCCGACCAGCCGACCGGCGTGCGCAAGTGGCGGCGGATGGCCGGGCCATCGAGATCTTAGGCGTTCGCCAGGCACCGAGAACTGGTTCAAGGAGAGACGGTGATGTATGTGAAGGCGAGCTATACTCTAGGGGTACCTTCCCCATTCCTTCCAGGCATCCTTCTTTCTACAAAACCACCCAAAATCCTAGGGAAACAGCTGGTTTTTGAAAAGAACGATGGTTGAAAAGAACAGGGAATCAACCACTAGACATAAGTGAACAATATGGTCAGAGCATGTTGGTGCTGACGCATTTTAAGGACCCTCAACATTTAAGGGCACTTGGCGAATTGCCATGTGTTTTACAAGCAAGATCAGCCAAGGGCCAGAAAGAAAGACCGAGCATAGCCAGTGAGGGGGCTCGGAGCTAGCCAATCAGCCAAAGGCCAGCTTGTGCAGGATTCATAAGCCGATGCTCGCCACACCTCATGCGGGGCACCTGCACCTTGAGACATCAGCGACCAGTGTGAATCAATTGTACACCAGCTTCCGGGAGAATGGAGGCACTTGGTTCGCGTTCCGCGTTTCGCACAAAACACCGCATTCAATCTGCGGAAACACAAGCGGCACATGCCAGACCAGGTGGCCTTTTTTTGGCCACCCGGCATCGAGAGATGCGAAATACCACAAGGGGCAAGATGCTCCGCACAAAAAGCAGTGCCTGCAATGGCCCTGAAAGAACGCGGCCTTTCGAAGAAATGCAGAGCTACGCAAATTGCTGAAGGTGTACCTCTGGCAGTTTGATGCAGGTACATGGAATAGGCATGGGTGTGGCTCAACAATAAAGAACCGGGTTACCGGACTCCATTCGCCAAGGAGGCATTTTGGGTACCACTTTTGAGCCACAGCCACATCTTAGGATGGGTTCCAGACCAACAGCTTGGAGTGGGGATGGGTTCCAGGGCGTGAGCCTGCAAGATTCACCCCATGTCGGGTTGGTCGCGATGCGACGTTGTTCCAAGTTTCAGATTCTCTTTCGAGTACCCCATGTGAGTTGATAGCCAAGCCCTAACCTAGATACTGCGAGTTAAGCAACCACAAGCCATTGCACATGACACGATCTTCTCATTCCTGACTTACAAAAATTGAGGAATTGGCCGTGCATCGCCGGTCCAGTATACACGTTCTCCGCTCCTGACCGTAACGCCTTCAACTGCGCTGATACTGAAAGAGAGAAAGGAGTATTTCTGGGCATCCCTATGTTGGCTGTGGAGGTACTGGATATTGGGCTTCCCAGAAATGCAGACAAACGGGCCGCTATCTTGATTTTATTCTTTCTCGCCCACCTCAACTCTGCTTTTTGAGTTACGCTCACCGGAAAACAACAGTTCAGATTGGGATGTTGGCTCATCAGGCCGTACATCACAAGCAAACAGCTTCCTGTGCACTTCTCTGTTGGTGGCACGCTTTGTACTATAAAGAAACCCACCATGTTCA